TCTACTCTACTCTACTCTACTCTACTCTACTCTACTCTACTCTACTCCACTCCACTCCACTCCACTCCACTCCACTCCACTCCACTCCACTCCACTCCACTCCACTCTCAAGTAAAGTCAATGGGGAAGGCAGATTCACATAACAACCACGTTACTAAAATTCACTGCCGTGATTCGCTTAACAACTGTGGCAAGAAAGGTGGCAAAATGGGGGAAATTTCACCTAACAACTGTCTCCCTTAGCAGCAGAGATGTTGGGCTCAATTGTGGTCGTAAGTCGAGGACTACCTGTGTCTCTTTCTTGGCCCAGTGGATCCGTAATGCAAGAATTATACTTGCCTTTGTATGTGCAAAAGATCGCTTTTAAGATTTCGTGGGATTCGATCAGAGCAAGACTAGGGAGAAAAAATGTGGCTGTTTTTCCCAGTGTTTTTGTCATCCTGTTGCTTTGCCATTCGATGCAGCTGCATTCCAGGGGAAAAAAACAGTCAGTTTTTCTGCAGGGAGTCTCTGTCTCTTCATTTCAAACAAAAAAATGTGTCATTGAACTACACGGGGAAGGGAACATGAGGTTCATTTAGTGCAGTGGTTTTCAAACTTGGATGCTTTAAGATGGGTGGACTTCAACTCCCAGAATTCCTCAGCTGGTTAAGGAATTCTGGGAGTGGAAGTCCACCCATCTTAAAGCATGCTGGCTGGGGAATTCTGGGAGTTACCATGAGAGGTGCTTATCTATCTCTATTCTTTAAAAAAAAAAATCAGAATTGGAAAACTCACGGCCTACATGGGTAGACTTGTGCAGATCTTCCCATAATCTAAGGACCTGTAATACCTGTTCCTTATATCTCTTGGGTATATTTGTATATATATGTATACATACTCTGGATCGATGGAAATAGATAAGAGAGGGAGAGAGATAAATAGATAAGATAAATAAGAGATAGGTAAGAGAGATAGATAGATATAGATAGATGATTGAAAGATATATAAATAGAGATAGAGATAGATTAATAAATAAATAGATGATAGATGGATAGGATAGGATAGGATAGATCAGGGATCTTCAAACTTGACAGCTGTAAGACTTGTGGACATCAACTCCCAGAATTCCTCCTCCAGTCATGTTAGCTCAGGAATTCTGGGAGGTATTTTTTTTTTTTTAAATTTGATTTATATGCCGCCCTTCTCCGGAGACTCAGGGCGACTTACAATGCGTTAAGCAATAGCCTTCATACTTTTGTATATTTATACAAAATCAGTTTATTGCCCCACAATCTGGGTCCTCAATTTACCTACCTTAGAAAGGATGGAAGGCTGAGTCAACCTTGAGCCTTGGCGAGATTCGAACCAGCAGTAATTGCAGGCAGCTGGATGTTAATAACAGGGTGCTTTAGACCACTGCTCTTTGAGTTGACGTCAACTCTTTGAGTTGACGTCCACAAGTCTTAAAGCTGTCAAGTTTGAAGATCCTTGGGATAGATAGATAGATAGATAGAACTTTTTAACTCCAGGGCCTTGCTATATAAATATCTCTTTAATTGGTTTTTCAGGAGTCTAGAAAATTGAACTGAAATAATGCATTATGGAAAGAAAATCAATAAAGTACGCTTATTATAGTCTGCTTTGCGCTCTCGGTGGTTCAGCACAAAATAGTTTTGGTTTTTTTTTATCAAAAATGCTTGTAAACGTTTTAAGACTGGGCTGGATCCCCACCATGTTAAATATCAACATTCTTTACATTGTTGTAAGACATTGCGTAGTCACAACAGAAAGCCGAAAAGACATTTCCAGCATGCTCAAACAACCACATGTGTATTATATAAGTTGTGGTTTTTGGGGGGGGCACGCGGGGGAGGCAGAAATGACGTTGAAATGTCTTTGTTTGGCAAACCGAAGGATTCATGTTTGGGGAATGGAAAATGTTTAGACGTGGAAAATAATTATCACGGTGGAAGGATTTCTGAGGACACAAAGCATTTTTGTCTCTTTGTTTTTTAGTCTTGATTTTTCTGAACTGTGTTTTGCCTTAATTATAAAAGAAAAAAAGAGAACAGTCTACCAGGGGTGGGTTCTACTTACTTTTACTACCGGTTTGCAATGGGAGTGCGCGTGCATGCGTGCCTTGTTTCTGCACATGCGCAGAAGGTTCTATGCACGCGCAGATCGCCAATGATGACATCCGTGGTGGTGGGCGGAGCCTCCTGCCGGTTTTACTACCGGTTCTTGCGAACCGGTCTGAACCAGGGGCAACCTACCACTGCTTCTCCCCCTGAAAAAGCTCTTTATAACTCTCCAGATTCTGGAATAAATAGGTACATGCCAGTTGTACGTATTTTTTATTTTATTTTATTTTTTGTTGTTGTACCAGTTGTAGAAAGCGTCCTCGCTTATTGCATCCCGGTGTGGTACACCGGCCTGACAGTGCCGGATAGAAAAACATTACAGAGGGTGCAGTGGTGAAATCCAATTTTTTTTTACTACCGGTTCTGTGGGCATGGCTTGGTGGGCGTGGCAGGGGAAGGATACTGCAAAATCCTCATTCCCTCCCCACTCCTGGGGCCAGCCAGAGGTGGTAATTGCCGGTTCTCCAAACTACTCAAAATTTCCGCTACCGGTTCTGATGGGTGTGTTGTGTGTATGTGTGTTTGTGTGTGCACTGAGGGAGCTCCACCAATCTTATTGTATATCTCATCGTGATGGCTAACCTTTTTGCCGTCACGTGCCAAAAGCGGGGGGGAGTGCAGGGAGGGGGGTCAGACGTGTCTGTGCCCACACCAATATTTCAATGCGCCCCCCTGTGCATGCTTGCGTGACCCCTCCTGCGGTCCCCCCACTTTTGGCACACAATGGCTCGTTGGGCCTGGTGGGCCTGTTTTTCACCCTCCCCAGGCTCCAGAGGTTTTCTAGGAGCCTGGGGAAGGCAAAAACGGCCTTCCCCAACTCCCAGAGGCCCTCTGGAGGCCGGAAACGGCCTGTTTCCTGACTTCCAGTGGGCCCGGAAGACCTGAAAATCAGCTGGCCGGCATACGCAAATGAACTGGAGGTGAGCTAGGGCAACGCTTGCGTGCCCACAGATATGGCTCCGCGTGCCATAGGCTCGCCATCACGGGTATATACGTTGTGCAGTAACAATCAAGGTGATTAGTATCGCCAAGCACTTGAATTTTGATCACGTGGCCACAGGGACGCCTGCCATGGTGACCCTAAGTGTGGGAAAATTAGCGTCCTAAGTCACTTTTTTTCAGTGCCATTGCACTTTGAATGGTCACTAAATGAACCGTAAGTCGAGGACTGCCTGGACGTGTATTGGGGGATGTTGCTCATCCTTTTTTCTTTCTTTTTTTCCTCTTTCTTTCTTGACCGTACCAGGAGGAGATGCCATGGTGGTAACCAAGCCGGGTCCTGTTCAGATCGTCCTGGTCCACAAAGAAGAACATTCCTTTGAGTTGGACGAGAAGGCGTTGAGCCAAGTCCTGCTGCAAGATGCTATCCGTGACCTTGACGTGGTGGTCGTGTCCGTGGCGGGCGCTTTCCGCAAGGGCAAGTCTTTCCTGCTGGACTTCCTCCTGCGTTACCTGTACACGCAGGTAAGGTCGGCTTCCCTGTTGCGTGCAGGAGCAGTGCCGTATTTTGGCCATCTTGGAAGGATGATCATTATGTATCATATTTTTCGGAGTAGTCACCCTAAAAGAGGAAATTTGGGTGCGTCTTAGATACCGAACGTAGCCAAAAACGCAAGGCACGGAAGCCGCAATGGTCTGTGGTAATCCCTGCAGCCTGGAACAGCTGATTGGAGGTATTCCGGGAGGCCAATCCACTCGCCAATCAGCTGCTTGTGCTGAATCAGGCTGTGCTGAAGCTGACCTGGCTGTTTGCTATTTACTGCAAGGACATGTCAGAGTTTGCAGCAGCCATCACATCCAGAAAGCATGCACAATTCAATAAGCAGGGTTCAATAACTTCACTTTATATGTAATATAACACAGGAAGCAAATATACAAAACCAGAATCAGGTTTTCCAACGTGGTAGTAAATACAAGCAAAACACAAGCAGAGGAGAGGAGTTTCAGTTTTGAGCAGCAGACTAGTTTAGACCTCAGCACAGACTCAGAGCTGCAGAGCTAAGCCACGCCCAGGTTTCTTGCTGTCTCCTTCCTTGTTGCTCACACAGCAAATACTGTTTCAGTTTCCAAACAGCCCTCAACTCTCCCACACACTGACAGGACACTAGCCAGATGAATATCGATGGATGCTGGTAGGCAGAGGCAGATTTTTTTTTCTTTCTTATTTTCCTTCCCAAAAACTAAGGTGCGTCTTATACTCCGGAGCATCTTATACTCCGAAAAATACGGCATCTTTGATTCCCTCATCTTCTGAGGGCGATGACATCCATGTTTGCCCTTTGTGTGTTGTTTAGTTGTTGCACCTGTGCGCGCAGTAGATTTGGGATTTGAGGAAATTTCCTAAGAAAACCAGGAAGCAGTCTCTGTCCTACAGAATTTACGATCTTTTTTATCTCCCCTTTGACTTTAGGTATCTTGAGAGAATCCAGATTTTTGCATGAAACACTTATCTCCCAGTTTGTTCTTGGTTAACTGTCAGGATGGCTAGCCCAGGTTCGAATCCCAGAAGGGTGTATGGCTAGCTGATGAGAGCTAAATAGCTTGAAATAGATATGTGCTAGTCTCCCTTTATTTCTTTGTCGGTAAATATAAATTCAACACAAAAGTTAACTCTCAGTGTTTTCCCAACCATGGCAGCTTTACAATGAGTGGACTTTAATTCCCAGAATTCCTTAACCAGGAATTCTGGGAGTTGAAGTCCACCCATCTTAAAGCATGCTGGCTGGGGAATTCTGGGAGTTGAAGTCCACCCATCTTAAAGCATGCTGGTTGGGGGCTTCTGGGAGTTGAAGTCCACCCATATTCAGGCATGCTGCCTGGAGAATTCTGGGAGTTGAAATCCACCAATCTTAAAGCATGCTCATTGGGGGATTCTGGGAATTGAAGTCCACCCATATTCAGGCATGCTGCCTGGGGAATTCTGGGAGTTGAAGTCCCAGAATTAAAAGTTGCCAAGGTTGGGAAACACCTAGAGACAAATAATCAGTTGTGTTTAAATCTCGATGCTGTTGCCTATTTTCTGCAACTCAGCTTTCCAGTTAGGAAATGCAACTTAGCAAGCCGTGGCTTGTCGCTCTTCCTTCGCAATCATTTTAGACCACGGTGGGGAGGTTGCATAAGAGCTTTCTGTTAATACAAAGCTGCTATTTTGCTCCCATGACTAATAGTTTGAACTCGGGGATCAGAGAGTGGAAATCCAAATCTTTTTTTTTTTTCCTTTTTCTTTCTGACCCTGCCTGTTGCAGCCATGCTTTCCCAGAGGGGGACACACACAAATCGTATTTTTTATCACCCCCCAGATTTCTGCCAAGTAAACTTGGTCATTTGACTGGAAGCTCCAGTGAGTCTTCTCTCATCTCCATTCCACCCCCCCCCCCAAAAAAAATCTTATTTTCATCCTACGCAGGGGTCTGCAACCTTAAACACTCAAAAGAGCCAGCTTCCCACAGAAAAGAAAACACCGGGAGCCACAAAACCTCAGTGGGCGTGGCCAACTCAATGTCACTCCCGCCCAGTCACATGACCTGCTCCAGCCATGCCTACCGAGGTTTTGTGGCTCTGGGTGTTTTCTGTGGGAAATGGGTCTCTTCTGTTTTTCTCTTTTTCCTCTCCCTCTCCCTTCCTTCCTTCCTTCCTTCCTTCCTTCCTTCCTTCCTTCCTTCCTTCCTTCCTTCCTTCCTTCCTTCCTTCCTTTCTCTCCCCTTCTCTCTCATTTGTTTCCCTCTTTTCCCTCTCTCATTCCCTCCTTCCAGCTTTCTCTCATTTCTCTCTCCCTCTCTCTCTCCCTTCTCTCCCTTGTTTCTTTTTTTTGCTCTCTCTCATACTCTCTCTCCATCATTTTCTCATTTTTTTCTCCCCTTTTCTCTCTCTCATTTCTCTCTCCCCCCCTTCTCTCACTTGTTTTTCTTTTTTTCCTCTCTCTCATACTCTCCATCATTTTCTCATTTCTTTCTCTTTTTCTCTCCTTTTCTCTCTCTCATTTCTCTCTCTCTCTCCCCCTTTCATTTGTTTTTCTCTTTTTCTGTTCGGCTGGGCGCTGCGGGCCTGTCCCCCTTTCCATCGTCCTCTCCTCCCGGATCCCATTCCCACCCCACCAGCTCTCGTGTTCGGCTGGCATCGGTTGCGGCCAGGTCGAACTAGTGTCTCGGGGCGGACAGGTGTGCATCTCCCCAAGCGACCAAGGCATGCCCAGCACCAATAAGGGCCGGAAGAAGCTCCAGCAAGAGTGAGGCCCTGGAGAATCAGCCCCGGCTGCGTCTTCATCCACCCCGCCGTCGCTTTATGGCGGATGCACTGGGAGGGAAGGGCGAGGGGCGGAGCCAGCCAGTGATGGGAGAGGGAGCCGCAGCAGAGGGCCCAAAGAGCTGCATGTGGCTCCAGAGCCGCAGGTTGCCAACACCCGTCCTATCAGGTCCTGAAAAAAGTTTAAACTTTTTTTATTTTTGTAAAAAAAAAAAAAAGAGATTTTTCTCCGCCTCCTCCAAGAGAAAAATCTATCTCAGAGAAGAGAAAAATCTCCCCTTTGACCCAACAGGCTTTGGGATGCCTCAGATTTCAGCGGTACGCTGACCTGGAACGATGGGAGTTGTAGTCCCTTTGGTCTGGGAAAGTCCTACTTGAGGAAAACTGGCCGGAGGCGCCATAATCCGGGGCAAATTTTGGTCTTACGATCCTCGGGAAGGTTTTGGAGGCCTCATTCCAACGCTGCGGTGTTTTTTGTTTTTCTACAGAAAGAAGACAGCAAAATTGATTGGCTGGGGGTGGAAAATGAGCCCTTGACGGGCTTTTCGTGGCGGGGGGGCTCTGACCCCGAGACCACCGGCATTCAGATCTGGAGCGAAGTCTTCATCGTGATGAAGCCCAGCGGGAAGAAGGTGAAAGCAGGAACAGCTACGGAGGGAAAGGAAACCGCCGGCTTGCAGAAATAGATCCGAGTTTTTTCAGGGCAGCAGGGCTAAAACCAGAACCTTTGTCTCCCCTGCACAAAACAGAATCACAGATTTGGAAGGGCCCTTGGAGGTCCTCTAGTCTAACCCCCCCCCTCCTGCTCAAGCAGGAGATCCTTATGCCATTTCAGGCAGATGGTTGTGTCCAATCTCTTCTTAAAAATCAATCAATCAATCCGAATAGAGCTGCAAAGGGACCTTGGAGGTCTTCTAGTCCAACCCCCTGCTCAGCTAGTTCTGTAGATCGACCGATTGGCCCAAGCCTGTTGCGATGACCAATTCCGGATTCGAACCTTCACCTTGAAAATTCAAGGCTTGTAATTCCAACAATAAATTGTAAATATTCCAAGAATTTGCCTCTTGCCTTGCAGGTCGCCGTTATGCTGATGGACACTCAAGGGGCCTTTGACAGCCAGTCCACCGTCAAAGACTGCGCCACCATCTTTGCCCTCAGCACCATGACCAGCTCCGTTCAGGTGAGCTGCCGGCCGCTCACCTGTTAGAAAGTCCCACTGTTTGCAGCTGGCCGTGATTGGCAAGCGAGGAAAACTAGCATGGGGTCCCCACGAGTGCGGGAAGTTAGCTGGAGGTCTTGATGCGCCAAGAGACTCAGATGTCTGCCTGTCTGTCTTCATCCATCATTTGTTGGTCTGTCTGTCCATCTGTGTTATCTCTTTATCAATCTATTATCTATCTATCCATCCATCCATCCATCCATCCATCTCTCCCTCTCCCTCTCTCTCCATCCATCACCTGTTGCTCTGTCTGTCTGTCTATCTATCTATCTATCTATCTATCTATCTATCTATCTATCTATCTATCTATCTATCTATCTATCTCTAATCTCTATCTATCTAAAGTCTATCCGGACTTTTCGTCGGGCCCTGAAAACTTATTTATTTCACCTAGCCGGGCTGGCTTGATCCCACTGTTTTGGTTAAATTTAATTGATTTTAATTGGGTTGTTTTAAATTGCAGCCAAAAATATTTAATTATTTTTAAATTGTTTTTAAATTTTGTATGTTCTGTTTTATTCTGGCTGTTCACCGCCCTGAGTCCTGCTGGAGAAGGGTGGTATACAAATTAAAACAAATAAATAAAACAAATAAATATCTATCTATCTATCTCTAATCTCTATCTATCTATCTATCTATCTATCTATCTATCTATCTATCTATCTATCTATCTATCTATCTATCTGTCATCTCATTTGTCTGTCCATCCATCCATCTATCATCTCTCCTGTCTGTCTATAATCTCTCTCTCTCTCTCTCTCTCTGAAACAATCTAATTCTTTCCATCCATCCAACCATTTTATATATGCCCATCTCACAGACGTGATTCTGGACAGCTTGCAAGATTAAAACAAAATGCCTAAAACCCCAAAAGCACAGTAACCCTACAAGCATTAAGGCAACAGAGGTAGTCCTTGACTTATAACCACAATTAAGGCTGGAACTTTAAATCGCTAAGTAGTGTGGTTGTTAAGCAATTTGTGCCCAATTTTGTGACCTTTTTATGCTGCGGTTGCTAAGCATATAATTAATTGTGTACACCACTCCTTTCCTTCCCAGATTTACAACCTGTCCCAAAACATCCAAGAAGATGACCTCCAGCAGCTGCAGGTAGGCAGGATCTCCCTATAATACGTGTGATCTTTTCATGCAGCTAGCCCTCAGTCATCATCATCATCTTTTAGTCTGGACAACTGAATAGAGATGAGTATTTACTGGCCAGATGCCTTTCCTGTCGCCAATGCAGAGTTTTTTTTCAGCAGATATATTCTGATTGTGCCCAGAGAGAGAAATATCTGCCTCTACCTAGAATCGAACTCAGAGCCTCTTGATTGTGAGGCCAGAGCTCCACCTCTAGGCCACTCCATGCAACTGGCCCTCAACTGTTGCTCTTTTTCTCTTTGTGCAGCTCTTTACCGAATACGGGCGTCTGGCCATGGACGAAATTTTTCTCAAGCCATTCCAGGTATGCATTCGGTCAATCAGGAATGGGGGTGAAGGGAGTCTGCCTGGACAATCTCGGGCTCCATTTATAATTCACCTGCGGAACTCACAGCCACGGGGGGGGGGGGGAATGAACACTTTGAATCCAGGCAAAAGTTCTGAATCTGAAAAGTTTTACGTTTGCTGTGCTCTGATTCGGGTTAGAGGTGGTATTTGCCGGTTCTCCGAACTACTCAAAATTTCCGCTACCGGTTCTCCAGAACTGGTCAGAACCTGCTGAATACCACCTCTGCTCCAGAGGCCCTCTAGAGGCCAGAAATGGGCCCGTTTCCAGCCTTCCCAAACTTCCAGTAGGCCCATTTTTCGCCCTTCCCAAGCCTCTGCGCGCGCACCGCACTTACCTGCATCCAAAACGGGTCGCGTGGGGACTCCTGGGAGGGGCAGAGTGGGGCCAATCAGAGGTGGTATTTGCCGGTTCTCCGAACTACTCAAAATTTCCGCTACCGGTTCTCCAGAACCTGCTGAAACCCACTTCTGGTGCAGTGGTATCACCTGAGCTTTCTCTCTTTAACGCAGACGCTGATGTTCCTGGTGCGAGATTGGAGTTTTCCGTACGAGTATAACTACGGCTTGGACGGAGGCATGAATTTCCTCGATAAACGTCTGGAGGTAAAACAAAATAAAAAAAATAAATAAAAACTCCAGAAATTCTGTGGTTGTGCTCGTCAGTGTTGGGTTTTGTTGGGCCTGTTCTGAATCCTCCTCTCTTTTCTGCCACAAGGTAAAATCTCACCAGCACGAAGAGATTCAGAATGTTCGCAAACACATCCATTCCTGCTTCACCAACGTCAACTGTTTCCTCTTACCTCATCCGGGACTCAAAGTGGCTACCAGCCCGAATTTTGATGGCCGTCTGAACGGTAAGGCCTGGAATCTCTGAAGGACCTGGGTCTGGGCGTGAAAAAGATCCCACATCCCAAAACCTGGCTTTGTGTCAGTGGTGAAATCCTCCGCCAGTCGCCACCGGTTCGCTGCATGTGCAGTGCGCACCAAACGCAACCTTTTGGATTTCCTGCTTTTTTTTTTTTTTAAACTTTTTAAAGCATTTTTAACTACCGGTTCCGGAGAACCGGTTGTAAAAAAAAATGCTTAAAAAGTTTAAAAAAAAGTTACAAAAATCAGCTGAGCGACGCGCAATCATTAGAACTTTTTAAAGCATTTTTTTTTATTACCGGTTCAGCGAACCTGTAGCATTTTATACTACCGGTTCGGGTGAACCGACTCGAACCGGTAACATTTCACCCCTGCTTTGTGTGCTGCAGATCCACAGCTGGAAAAATCCTCTTTGGAGGGTTTAAAAGGTCTCCCGATTTTATTAAAAGCATTTCAGAGTGCGGTTTCTCTGTTTGGTTTCTTTTTATATATATATGTTTAATTCTAGACCAGGGATCTCCAAACTTCATAACTTTAAGACTTGTGGACTGACTGAGGAACTTTAAGACTTCAACTGACTGGCTGAGGAATTCTGGGAGTTGAAGTCCACAAATCTTAAAGTCTTTGGAGACCCCTGTTCTAGTCTAATGAAAAGAAGGACTGGGGGTGACATGCAGTGGTGGGTTTCAGAATTTTTTACTACCGATTCTGTGGGTCTGGCTTGGTGGGTGTGGCAGGGGAAGGATACTGTAAAATCTCCATTCCCACCCCACTCCAGGAGAAGGATACTATAAAATCTCCATTCCCTCCCCACTCTAGGGGAAGGTTACTGCAAAATCCCCATTTCCTCCCGATTACCTGGGACTTGGGAGGCAGAGAATAGATGGGGGCGGGGCCAGTCAGAATTTTTACTACCGGTTCTCTGAACTACTCAAAATTTCCGCCACTGGTTCTCCAGAACCTGCTGAAACCCACCTCTGGTAACATGATAGCAGTCTTCCAATATTTGAGGGGCTGCCACAAAGAAGAGGGAGTCAAATTATTCTCCAAAGCACCAGAAGGGAGGACAAGAAGCAACGGCTAGAAACTAATCTAGGAGACAAGCAGGAGAAACTTCCTAACAGTGAGGACAATTAACCAGCGGAACAGCTTGCCACCAGAAATGGTGGGTGCTCCAACACTGGAGATTTTTTAGGAAGAAACTGGACAGCCATTTGTACAGAATGAAACAGGGGTCTCCTGCTTTAGGCAGGAGGTTGGATTAGAAGATCTCCAATGTTTCTTCCATCTTACATCCAACAGCTGTAAGATGTCAAGGCAGCGAAATATAATTAGTTCACCTGATTGTTTTTTCCTGATTGGTCTACCTGACACGACTCTCAAAAATCTGAAAGTTCAAATCTCCCGCCCTCCCCTTAAAGGTAAAGGTTCCCCTTGCACATACATGCTGGTCGTTTCCGACTCTAGGGGACGGTGCTCACCTCCGTTTCAAAGCCGAAGAGCCAGCGCTGTCCGAAGACGTCTCCGTGGTCATGCCTTTGGCATGACTCAACGCCAAAGGTGCACAGAACGCTGTTCCCTTCCCACCAAAGGGGGTCCCTATTTTTCTACTTGCATGTTTTTTTACCTGCTTTCGAACTGCTAGGTTGGCAGAAGCTGGGACAGGCAATGGGAGCTCACCCCATTACGTGGCACTAGGGATTTGAACCGCTGAACTGCCAATCTTTTGATCAACAAACACAGCGTCTTAACCACTGGGCCACCGCATCCCTCCCCTTTACACCCTGATAAACTAGGAAGGGTCTCTTTTCATCCTCTTTCCCCACCCATTATTCAGCTGAGGGCTCAGCTGTCTCTTATCTAATTGTTCCCTTGCCAGCATATTTTGCCCCATCTCCTAAAAGGTTTTCCCCACATAGTACGACTGTCATTACCTACAATAATAAATGTCTGTCTGTATTTTATAAGGCCATAAAACAATTCACGGGGAAAAAAAGAACTCCATTCCCATCGCAGTTCTTCCTCTTTTATCTTTTTCGTCCGTGTTTCCTTTTTGTGCTGCAGACATCGCCGACGAATTCAAGGACCAGCTGAAGCAGTTGATCCCGTTCGTCCTGGATCCCAGTCAGCTCTTAGAAAAGGAGATCAACGGCTCGAAAGTAACCTGCCGAGGCCTGTTGGAGTATTTCAAGGTACGTTTCGTCACACTCTGAGCTTTGTTTACATTTCTTTTCTCTTCAGCGAGAGGAAAGTCAATAAAGAAAAAAAGAAAATTGAGAGCTGCTTGGTCTGGCGGTTTGATTTAATTAGCGTACTTATTTCAAATGTTTATATAACGTTTATAAACAACTCTTGAGCTGCTTGCAATCAGATCTCCCCATGGATTTGGGGGGTGGGTCCGCAGAGAACAGACCAGAGAAAAAGGCCAAGAATTTGCTAGAATTTTAAGAAGCAGGCATTTTGGAAGTCAGGTGTTTTTAAGATTTAACAGAATTAGCCTCTTAAATTCCTACTCAGAATTCCTAAATAGGCCATCTCAAATCTGGGGGAGGGAGGGCTAGGGGCAGGATCCTTGGGCAGTCACTATTCAGAAATGGACATTGCACCAATTCTGTGGCTGTTTACCAAAAACGTCTCACACAGGGACAGAAATCTGAGGCTCCATGACAGTCGTACGTTGAGGAGTAACTGTAGTTCGGCCCGTCTTTAAGCATGGAGGATGTTTTCCTTCTTACTGGATTTAGGACCCACAAATATTTTTAGGTTGGAACGAAAAACCGTGGAAATGAATGAATTTACAGTTGTGTAATAATCGTTTGTTAATGTCCTTCATCCTAGGCTTATATCAAGATTTACCAGGGGGAAGACCTGCCACACCCCAAATCCATGTTGCTGGTGAGTTTCGACTGGAGAGGGAAGAGTTAAAAATCACTTGACTTCTTGCTACAATTCAGCGTGGTGGTTACAGGTAGCCCTCGACTTACGACAGTTCATTTAGTGACCGTTTGAAGTTACAACAGCACTGAAAAAAGCGGCTTATGGCTGTTTTTCACACTTATGGCCTTTGTAGCATTCCCATGGTCACGTGATCGAAATTCAGAACGCTTGACAACTGACTCGTATTTATGACGGTCGCAGTATCCCCGGGGTCGTGTGATCCCCTTTTGCGACCTCCTGACAAGCAAAGTGAATTCCCTTTTAACAGCCCACATGTTCCTAACTTAACCGAAGTGATTTGCTTAACAACGGTGGCAAGAAGAGTCGTTAACTGGGACGAATCCACTTAAGAAGTATCTCACGTAGCAATAGAAATTTTGGACTCAGTTGTGGTCGTTAAGTCAAGGACTACCTGTACTGCCTCTACAAAGCCTGCAGAGCTGGCTCCAGTAACAATCTTATCTATATAAAAAAGGATGTATGTATGTATGTTCCAGCATAACTCTGGAACGCCTCGAGCAATCTCAACCAAACATGGTACACAGATGACTTACTATCTGGAAACAAATACTGTAGGGGTAAGACACCCCTGGGTTGTGTGTGTGTGTGTGTGTGTCTGTGTTCCAACATAATTGTGGAACGCCTGTGCCATTAAGGAGAGCGAGTGCGGCATCCTAGAGCGGCAGTTGTTTGTGATGTCATGGGAGGGGAAAGGTAGAATCTGGGCCGTTAAGGAGAGCGAGTGTGGCATCCTAGAGCAGCAATTGTTTGTAATGGCAGTTCATTTGCAGCTTCCTCTGGAAAGCCAGCTGTGATGTTCGCCCTCTAGTGGAGCAATGGGGAAGCGCCTGATGGATTTGGGGCAAAGTGTGCCAGGATCATAGACAGGGCGGGAAAGAGGAGCGCATGGGAGGGGGAAAGGAGAGGGCAGGGGTGATGGGCATGGGAGTAGGGGGGAAGAAAGGCTCCTCTCAATGGCTCCCTGTCAGACAAAGGCTTCGACATCTATAAATACTCGGGCAACGTCGGGTTACCAGCTACAGCGAATAAAATTACAGAACTGTACACAAAAAATACAGCATTAAACCTCCAAATGCAACCTGCCAATTTTTTGTTTTTCTTTTTTTTACAGTTTTCCTAACTCTTAGCAGAGGGTGGGGAAAACTCAACTGGTTTGCTTCTGAAATTGTTTCTCCTTCTTTGCAGGCCACCGCTGAAGCCAACAATCTGGCGGCTGTCGCTTCAGCCAAAGACCTGTATTACAGCAGCATGGAAAAGGTGAGGGGGGCGGGGGTGGGGTGGGGTGGCATTTACCCACGGTTTGCCACTTGTATGGGCTGCCCAGGAGTCGTTCTTGACTCCTGATGACTGTGTAGAGAAGTTGTTGAGGATGGGTTTTTTTTGCCAAGAAATGTTTTCGGAAGGGGTTTTGCATTGTTTCTGTGTTTCCAGGCCCCCCAAAAAAGGCCTGGCCCAAAGTCACCTAGATGGTTTTTATGCCTAAGACAAGACTAGAACTCCCAGTCTCCTGGTGATTGGCCCAAATGCCTAAGGCGGGGCTAGAACTCACTGTCTCCTGGTGACCTGGACCAAAGTCATCCCTCTGGCTTTCATGCCTGGAATGGAATTAGAATTCAGAGTCTCCTGGTGATTGGCCCAAAGTCACCCAGCCAGCTTTCATGCCTAAAGCAGGACTAGAACTCACAATCTCCCAATGATTGGGCCAAATCCACCCCACTGGAACTAGAATTCACTGTTTCCTGGGGATTGGCCAAAGTCACGCAACTGGTTTTCATGCCTAAGGCGGGACTAGAATTCACCGTCTCCTGTTGATTGGCCAAAAGTCACCCCGTCAGCTTTCATGTCTAAGGCAGAACTAGAACTCACCGTCTCCTGGTGACTGGCCAAAGTCATCCTTCTGGCTTTCATGCCTGGAATGGAACTAGAATTCAGCGTCTCCTGGTGATTGGCCCGAAGTTATCTCGCTGGCTTTTACGCCTAAGGCAGGACTAGAACTCACAATCTCCCGGTTTCTAGCCCGGTGCTTTGAACCACCCACCAGGCCCGGCTCTCCCAGCTTGCTTTACCGTGCCCGATAGCTTAACTTGCCCTGGTCCTCTTTTCCCTCCAGATCTGTGGCGGAGACAAACCATATGTGGCCCCCGAGTTGCTGGAGGCAAAGCACCGGGAGCAGAACCTGCGGGCTTTGGAGCACTTCCGTCGCATCAAGAAGATGGGAGGCCGGGAGTTCAGCCAACGTTACGAGGACGAGTTGATGCAGGAGCTGAGTGACCTCTTTGAAGACTTGGCCAAGCATAACCAGAGCAAGAACATCTTCAACACTTTCCGGACGCCCGCCATCCTCTTCGGCATCATCGTGGTGCTTTACGTGACCTCGGGGATCACCGAGTACATTGGACTGAGTGTGGTTGCCCAGTTGTGCAACTTAATGGTGGGGCTGTTGCTTCTTTCCCTGCTAGCCTGGGGCTACATCCGATACTCAGGCGAATACCGCGAACTGGGCATTGTGATTGACAACACAGCGGCGTTCGTGCTGCAGAAGATACGGGCTATGGGGTATGTATTTGGCTTAGTTCAGCAGTTCGATCCTGACCAGCTCCTTCCTTCCTTCTCTCCCCCAGTGGTTAGAATGCAGTATTGCAGGCTTATTCTTCCCACCGCCAGCAGTTCGATTCTGACCGGCTCAAGGTTGACTCAGCCTTCTGTCCTTCCAATGTCGGTAAAATGAGGAGCCAGACCCACAGAACCGGTAGTAAAAAAATTTGAAACCCACTGCTGGTTAGAATGCAATATTGCAGGCTAATTCTGCCCAGTGCCAGCAGTTGGATTCTGACTGGCTCAAGGTTGACTCAACCTTCTGTCCTTCCGAGGTCAGTAAAATGAGGACCCAGATTGTTGGGGGCAAGATCCTGACTCTGTAAACCACTTAGAGAGGGCTGCAAAGCACTGTGAAGCGGTACATATATATATCTAAGAGCTGTTGCTATTGCCCTTCCTTCCTTCCTTCCTTCCTTCCTTCCTTCCTTCCTTCCTTCCTTCCTTCCTTCTCTTCCCAGTGGTTAGAATGCAGTATTGTCAGGCTAATTCTGCCCACTTCCAGCAGTTCAATTCTGACCGGCTCATGCTTGACTCAGCCTTACGTCCTTCCAATGTCGGTAAAGCGAGGACCCAGATTGTTGGGGGCAAGAGACTGGACTCTGCTGAATTGTGGTCTTACGTCAAGGACTACTGGAAAAATCAAGAAATTATTAGCTCTTGGGTGACTGCTTGGGTGTGAAATTTTCCCTAACCTGAACATCTTCTCACCTGTGTGCTTACCTTCTCCAGGTCTCCTGTCCACCCGGCCCCCTCCAGAGAGCAGCCCCTGGCCCCACCACTGCACGGGAAGTCTCAGTGAACAAGGCGGCACGACGAGGTGCGACTCCCAAAATGTCATCCTTGACGGTGGAATCACCGGAATCTGGCTTTCCGATCCAGGAATCGCTTTCGCAAAGCTTCTTCATAGACAGCCAATCTGAGCTTCTGAGTCGGGGGCGGCGGGATCTCTGCTCCTTTCTTCCCGCTTACCTTCCTTTGACGGACCCCTCCCCTGATTTTTCATTTCCCCCCACCCTCTCCCTTCAAGAAAGAAATCTTCTGCACTTTAAATGGGGAAACAAAACAGCCGCTCGAAAACCGTTTCCGTACCAGTTAGTGCCTTCCGTGATGAAAAAGGAAAAACCAACCTGACCCATTATTGTTTCAGCTGCCGGCTTTTGTTTTCGAGGTTTGTCGGTTGTACCAAGAAGAAGATGCCAACTCCCCTTCTCCCTCCTCCTCTCCCCGCCAAAAAAGCTCCCCCCTCCCTCCCCAGGCATCAACCTCGGAGTGGCTAAATTACCCAGCCTTTCTTTTGGCGAGAGTTCGGCCAAACTTCAAAAGGATCTGCTGAGGGCCGGCCAGGCCTAGCCAAATAATTAAATATAAATTAGGGATGCTATTTTGTTTTTAGTGCCTTCTCAAAACTGGACGGTGCCTGCTTCGACCCAGAGAATCGCGCCCAGCTAGCAGCCCCACTGCCTTAGAAAAGCCGTCTCAGGAAGTTCGAAACGGAGAGAAACGGAAGAGTTCGGTGTGTTAAAACGGCTCCCGCATCGCCGGCTTGTGTCTTTGTCTTTCTCTTTCGGTACAACGCGGTGTCTGCTTCGTCTTTGTAATTCACCTTGTCGAAATGCAAGGGATCGTCTTAGCGGTCCTGCTTGGATCTCTTTGGGATCTCCGTCTAGATCAGCGGTGAGCTGTGCGGGACATTTGAGAGTTTTTCCAGGTGTGGTCGAGACATTGTTCCTTGAATGTAATGTACTCTCGTCCTTTCTAGACTCACTGGGTTGAGACACAACCAGTGACCCTTATTGGCTGTTCTTTCTGTATTTTACTGGTATGGAGAATTCCCTCCCCCCTCTGTTTTTTCCAAGCTTGGGAGGGTGAATGGTCTTGGTCTCCTCTCTGTATATGTGATTGAAGGCCGTTTTCCCGTTCTGAGCCACGCTGTTTAAATTCCGACTGTTTCCCCTTCCTTTCTTCGTTGCCCACCGAGTCAACCGTGGGATGATTAATAAAAAAACTCCGTAGCAAGGAGTGTGTTCCATTATAGCTAGTAAACTTACCCAAAGCTCAAGGTGCCTCTGGGACCCGCTCTCCCTCTCCCCCCCCCCAAAAGTCTCGTTCTTGGAAACCTTTCTTATATAGGCCTCGCACCAAAAATTATTATTCTGCTCCAAGCTTTTGAGTCATTCTAGCTTCCCTCAATCACGAAGGCTTCTCCGGAGGGCGGAATAAGCTTTATGCATTCTTCCAAGGTGCCTTTTCTTTTTCTTTTTTAACCTTTTTTGCCTTATTTTTTTGCTGCTGCATTGGAGTCTCACTTGATCGCAAAGCCCAAATGTTTTGAGTCTTTTGGCCCATTAGAGGGCAAGGGAGCAAAACGTCTGCAGAGTTCTTTCCTGGCTTATTTCCCAAGATCGCCCTCTGGTGGCCTTTTCCTTTCACAGCAAGTCTTATTTTCAGTTTTGTTTTGGTTGTTGTTTTTTTTGCATTCTACCTCTTCTTTTTTTTTTTCTTCTTTGTTTATGGGAAGCGTCGCCCCATTTTCTAAACATCACAGGCCTCTAAGCTCCCAACGCAGCTTTGTTTTCTCTCAAATGCCAACTTTTTTTTAATGTTGGGGTTCGGCGCCTAGGGAGTCACAAGAATTTGAGTGAGCGAGTTGAGGTGATTCTTTATTTTGTACGTGACACAGCTGAGTTTAAAATCTAAAGTGTGGTAGGAAGACACAGATCCTTCTCCTGGGTTGCGCTGGAAAACCTTAGGCCACGCGAAGAAAATGCAGCGTGAAACACAGACCCGGGGACCAGATTTCCTTTTAAAGGGTTGAGTGGAAAATGGGGAGCCATGTTTGTGTTTGAGGTTCAATTCCCAGAATTCCTTTGGCCGTGGCTCCTTGGAATTCTGGGAGTTGCAGTTCAGAGAGGTAGGTATGTGTCTGGATGGGGAATGGATGCTGTCTCCTGGCTCTTTTCACTGTTTTCAGAACTCTTTTTTTTTTTTTGACAACTTTGTCAAGTCGAAAACTTTCCCCCCTGTGGACCAATGTGGTCAGGATGTTGATGCTGAATTATATTTATAAAGCACAAAAAGGAAGCATTCCACTTTGCAACTGCGAAAATAAAAGACTGGTGTACTGAAATGGGTGTGAAGGGTTATTTCGTGCCTGTGTCATTTTTCTGAAAATCTCTCATGCCTACACAGAACAGTCCTACTGACTCTTCAAAGTTACAGCGGCATGAAAAAAACTTACAACTTATGACGAGAGGTGGGTTTTGCATAATTTTACCACCGGTTCGAGCACACCGAAAATGTGAGCGCGCCTTCCACGCGTGCACCCAGCCTTCCACATAAGTGCTTAGTAAATGTGGTAAAATAGGGCGGCACAGAGCAGTGGTGGCGAACCTTTTACTCACCGAGTGCCGAACAGGTCCATGCTTTGCATGCGTGTCATCTGTGCTACCGCGTGGCTCCTCCCCCATACTCTGTGCGCGCAACTGCACATGCGCACAGCTTTCAAGTGTGTGCCCCACTGCGGTGCACATGCAATTGCACCATCTGCATGCATGTGGTTTTCACGCATGCAATGCACACACACGAACGCCATCTGCATGCGTGCGCTGCGCACCAGTACTCTCATGTGCACCCACAAACGTGAGTGCATGCGCAGGAGATCTCCAAAGAACAGCTGGGTCCCCTGAATTGCGTGCATGCGCCTTGGAGGTCCCACTGAATTGTTGGGGATGCGCAGCTACAGGTGAGTTGGGCGACAGCTTGCGTGCCCAGAAAAATGGCACTTCTGGCACACATGCCATAGGTTTGCCATCGGAACAAAAGCCTAAGATCGAGACTTAAAGCAAAAAATATTTGAATAGAATAGAATAAGAAAGAATAGAATAGAATAGAATAGAATAGAATAGAATAGAGTTGTGTTTGGACAAACCAGGAACTTGTCTTTGGTGCATACGCTCTCAGTGTACATAAAAGTAAAATATATTCGTCAAGAATCATAAGATACAACACTTAGTGATAGCCATAGGATGCTAATAAGCAATCAAATCATTCTAGGAAACAATAAAAACAATATAATTGTTTGATATTCTTGCAGTCATCTGGTCATCAGGATAAGTGCTAAAGATCAGGTGATCGCAGGGAATATAAATCCTTCCATCCTCCACCATTCACTCAGAACTGAAGAAGCTTCTTGGATCAGAAGCGAAACCTCTTCAAGGAAAAGCAAAATCCAGTTGCTTTTTGAAAAAGCAGCCAGATGGGTGATCGATGGGTTTCCTGGGTAGTTTCCCTGCCCTAATCCTGTCGGTTTCTGTTGTTTATTGACTTTATTCAAGGCGTGTGTCAGCTGTTATGACAACTAAGTAGCCTGTTAAGTGGTTCTTGGCTGCCTGCCCAGAGTTATTAACTGAAGGGAGAGAAAGAGAAAAAAACCCCACTCTTGTACTTTATATTCAGCCGGTTCTCTGAACTGCACAAGCAATTGGCTAACGGTTCAGGTGAACCGGTGTGAACTGACTGAATCCCACCACTATTTGGGACAACCCTGATCTGGATGACTGAGAATCTTCCTAGAAAAATTGAGGGCACCTGAGGGCAGGACAAGAAGCAATGGGTGGAAACTAATCAAGGAGAGAAGCAACCTGGAATTAAGGAGAAATTTCCTGACAGTCAGAACAATCAATCAGTGGAACAACTTGCCTCCAGAAGTTGTGAATGCTCCAACACTGGAAGTTTTTAAGAAGATGTTGGATAACCATTTGTCTGAAGTGGTTTATAGGGTTTCCTGCCTAAGCAGGGGGTTGGACTAGAAGACCTCCAAAGGTCCCTTCCCACTCTGTTTATTCTATTCTATTAAACTCTTATCGCAGGATATGTATGTTACAACAGCATGGGGGGGGTATTTCAGTGTTTCCAAGCAGGTAGTCCTTGGCTTACAAACTTCCACTGAGCAGACATTCAGAGTTGCAATAGCACTGAAAAAAAGCGACTTATGACCGATCCTTGCACTTATGACCATCGCGGCATCCACATAGTCACGTGATCGCTCATCCTACGGTCTCTTTTCTTCAGAAGGTGTCTTTTCTGGGGACCACGGGTCCAAAGTGTTATTTGCCCGCATGACATTGGTGAAGAAGGAACTGCTGTCCGATGTGGCAGGGACTGACCTCTACCGTGTCAACAACCAGCATGACTCCAAATATACTCTCCAGAATATCTCTAGGGCAGAGAAGCTGGTGGCAAGGAAAGTGGTAGAGTATGAATTCAATAGCCAGAATTGTGAGCATTTTGCCAATAACCTGCGCTACGATATGGTCGGAAGTGATCAAGTAAGTGCGGTCTTCGGACACTTAGAGAAATTTCTTGAAGTCCCAGTCTCAGGTTTTTTTTTATCAAAATAGCTAAGAGAAAATCAGCATTGCCACGTTATCTTTTTTTAAAAAAGTTTTTTCAGTTTTATATTTTATACATATAAAATGTACATTTTCTTACACATATTTGTTTTCGGAGGTTTTCGCGGGTGTTTGTATGTAGGTCTTTGGTTATTCGGGTTTTTTCCCACATAAAATTGGAGGTGTCTTGGTGACGTTTCGACGAAGTCTCATTCGTCATCTTCAGGCTGGTGTTTTCGGCTTCGTGCTTCTAGGAGCAATGTGAGATCGCAGCTGTTTCTTCCTTTATTCTGCGATCTCACATTGCTCCTAGAAGCACGAAGCCGAAAACACCAGCCTGAAGATGACGAATGAGACTTCGTCGAAACGTTGCCAAGACACCTCCAATTTTACATGGGAGAAAACGCGAATAACCAAAGACATTTTTTTTTAATATATATATATTTTAAGCAAAATTTAGGAAGACACACACACACACACACACACACACACACACACATATCTTAAAGCATTTTAAATAAGACATTTTAATTGCATTCGGGGTTGCTCTTCTATCCTTTCTTCCCTCTTTTCACAACAAACCTTCTTCATTCTTTCCCTTCCCAGCCTCCTCTCCTCTCCTACTTTCTCCTTCCTCCTCTCCTACCTCATCCTACTTCCCCTTCCTTTCCCCCACTCCTCTCTTCTTTTCCCCCTTCTCACCTTCTCTCCTACTCCTGTCCCCTGCCCTTCCTTCCTCTCCTTTTCCCTTTCTTCCTTTCCTCTCCCTCCCTCCCTCTCCTCTTCCTACCCTCTCTCCTTTCTGTCTTCTTTGCTGTGGACTATTCTCCTTGTCTGGTATCCGAGCAACTCCTGTATTCTAATAGTATATCCTTTCTTTCAAATTTCTTTTCAGATTTATTCTGTCTTATCAATATTACCATCATAATTGTACATTATTCTTATGCTCTTCTTTCTTTCCCCTCACCCCCCTTTTCCACGTTCCCTTTTCCAAATTGTCACATTATCTTAAGTGATGAGAAGGTCCATCCTCCTTGGGGCTCTATGGCTGTGTTGGGACTGGAACTCCCAGAATTCCATTAGGCTCTGGGAGCTGGGGAATTCTGGGAATTGCAGTCCAGCCAACCCCTAACTAAACCCATGAAGTGTGCATTTGGACTGCAAGGTTTATTTAAGACCCTTGTTAGTGGGATTCTGGGAACGGTCCAAAATTAGGAAGGATGGGGGAGGGGTGGATTACAATCTCCATAATCCCCATCTAGGATGTGCAAGGTGTTTGCTAACTTTTGGCACTTGTGAGTCATACCATCTTTGTAGGGTGCCTGTGTCCTTTAAGGAAATGTGTGCTGGGAACAGAGATGGGTTTCAGCAGGTTCTGACCAGTTCTGGAGAACCGGTAGTGGAAACTTTGAGTAGTTCGAAGAACCGGCAAATACCACCTCTGGCTGGCCCCAGAGTGGGATGGCAATGGAGATTCTGCAATATCCTTCCCCCAGGAATAGGGAGGGAATGGGGATTTTGCAGTATCCTTCCCCTGGAGTGGGATGAGAATGGACATTTTGCAGTATCCTTCCCCAGCCACCCCCACCAAGCCACACCACGCCCACCAAGCCACACCCACAGAACCGGTATTAAAAAAAATTGGATTTCACCAGTGGTCATTACTCACTTTTTTCAGTGCCATTGTCACTTCGAACGGTCTCTAAATGGACTGTCGTAAGTCGAGGACTACCTGTATACCGAAATTGTGCGCGTATGCCTTTCTTTCGTGTGCTTTTTGCAAAGCGACTACCTATACAAGTAGTCCTCGGCTTACAACCGGAATTGAGCTGAACGGTCATAAGTTGTGGAGGTCATTAAGTATGTCATGTGATGCGGAAGTTGTTAACCATTGGTAAATGAGAACACTTCACCAATGAATGGGTCTTTTTTTTTTTTTGCGCTAGAAATTAGCAAAAAAAACCCACCAGAAATTGCCAGTCAGCCAAATGGAAGCATGTGAGAGAGAGAGATTTGTTCTGTATTTTTTAAGAATAAAAAACGAGCCATCTCAAGTTACAGTCACCCAAATGAGTCATTGGTTCATTCCCACGCTTGGTGACCAAAAAAGGAGAACTTTCCTTGGCTTCCCCAGAGTTCAAAAGTCTTCCCCGTCCCTCTCCGAGTCAAGAGTTCTGAGCGAAGCACCAGCATGAAGTTAATCTGGTTTAAAGATTTCAATTGTAATAGATGTTTTTGAACGGTGAGCTGCCCAGGTTTCAAAATTTCAATCCTAATAACAACTTTTCTTGCATCGGTATCTCTAACCTATTTAACTCTACCCAAATTCTACTTCTAAATATCTCTCTCTTAAACTTACATCTTTATTTAAATTAATCTTGATTTCTATTTACAATTCGATCGCATAACAAAAACATCCCTTAAGTTTTATGTTTACTCTCCAGCCAGGAATACCATGTTTATAAGGAAGTTGATTTTGTATTAGAGTTTTGGAAAAGGAAAAATCACAATAATTTTTTTTTTTTTTTTAAAAGGAATACCATTTATTCCATATTAAATACTACTCGGTGTCCTCCCTCTCCTTCATTTCCATAGATAATCTGTGCATCTCTGCACATTCGTGTATATCTATATCTATATATCTATATCTATATATCTATATATAGATATATCTATCTCTATCTATCTGTCTATCTATCTCTATCTCTATCTCTCTCTCTCTCTCTCTCTCTCTATCTATCTATCTATCTATCTATTTATTATGATTTGATCCAGAGGGGTGTCTAATTGTTTCCGATCTTCTGCTTTCACAATTCTACTTGCCGTTAGTATGTGTAATACGATATATCGCAAGCTTTTCTGCATTTCCCCTTCCAGAATATCCAGGAGTTTAACTGTCAAGAGGGTCATTGCTAGGAAATCGGAACTAGAAATCGCTTTTGCTCTCGTGGAAGTTACACGTGGCAGCATCTACAAAAACTTCCACTCTGGCACTGTTTTAGCAAAGTTTGCTAAACTTTGTTAAACTTATGTTAACTCTTACTTTCTAGAGTTAAGTTTTTAAGAGTTAACATAAGTTTCTACTTATGTTAGCTCTACTGTCACTTTTGCTGGATACCGTTAATTGCCTTAAGAGAGGATCCTCCAGGAAACAGATCCTGTTTGGGTATCTCTTCAAAACTCCCAATTTCTCGGTCACTCAGGAGGAATTTCCCTTTCTCCAGATTCCTGAGAAGGACAAAACTGCAGCTGGCATAAATATGACCAACAAAACATCCTGGACAGGCGAGGTAAATGTATGGGACTGAAGCCTCAAAATGGAGAGCGAAAGCAAAAAAGGCGTTTGAAAGGGAAGCTGTGTGTATTTGTGTGGTTGTGCAGGTGTTGGGGTGTGTTTTATGACTCCCTTGGGGGATTGTACTTTGTCCGAGTTCTTTAATCTTTATGTATCTTAGAGGCAGGATGTGAGATGTTGGTTGCTGAGTTTTAGAGAGGGCCCGAACGGTGCTTGTTTCGGGAGCCAACTGAACTTTTCTTGTCTTTTTCTTTTGAAGATGTTTTGCTTCTCATTTCAAGAAGCTTCTTCAGCTCTGACTGGATGGTGGGGAATGGAAGGATTTATACTCCTTGCTGGTCCTTTGCATCCTTTTAGAGGGTCGTTGAGGCCACTTGGAGGTTTATCTGTGTCCTTGGAATCACCTGAGTGGTGCAAATGGTTCCTGTAGTCTGCAATTTTTCCTCTGGAAATCCATTCCTCCTCCCACACCACACCCTTCCACGGGTGTCCATCCCAAATTGTGTAGCTAAAAGTCTGTAGAGATTCTCAGCCATCCGGTGCTTTTTCAAGAGACAACTGGAGTTTTCCTGTTTTTTTTTTTCCTTTTGAAGACGTTTCGCTTCTCATTTCAAGAAGCTTCTTCCCCTCTGACAGGACGGTGGGGCATGGAAGGATTCAAAAGATCGTCCCTACAGACTTTTAGCTTTTAAAATTTGACGGTGAGAACCAACAACCCACTGAAACGACTTGCCTCCAGAAGTCGTGGGTGCTCCATCACTGGAGGATTTTAAGAAGTGATTGGATAGCTACTTGTCTGAAATGGTCTAGGGTCTGCTGCTGAAGCAGGGGGTTGGACTAGAAGACCTCCAAGGTCCCTTCCAACTCTGTTCTTCTGTTCTTCTTCTGATTCTACGGTAGGTTGCATCACAACGTTATGCAAATTTTTTCAACTTCCTGCCTTGCTTGCATGATGGCATGTAGACTTGGGTTCTGCTTTAATGGCCCGTTGAGGTTGTGTGCATCTGTATGCCGGTTTATTGTAGATACTGGCAGGGTGGGTGTGTTGCAGAAACAGCTGGTTTCTCTGGAACCTGGCCTTCCTTTCCTTGTAGGTGGACCTGGAGCCTGGAGACTTGATCGAGATCTTCCGGAAGGGATATCAACACTGGGCAGTCTACGTTGGTTTGGGTGAAGTTGTCCATTTGGCTCCGCCAAGTAAGAAACTGGGTTGGCTTTGACACTCAACTTCCCATGTGAATGTTTGTAATGTTTGTATCTGAGCTGCCATATTAATTTGGGGCGAGGATTTAAGGATAGACCTGTCCTTCGGTTCTGGCTGAGCTGCTATGAACTTCTGAAGAGCAGGACCGAGACAGAAAATTAGCCATCCCAACCTTTATTGCAGTATGTAGCAATAGCACTAAGATTTACTGTATTTTTCGGAGTGTAAGACACACCTTTTTCCCTCCTAAAAGGGGGTGAAAATTTAGGTGCGTCTTATACACTGAAGGTAGCCCCACCCACCCACTGGCCCCCACCCTTTGGCCTCTGCCTCCCAGCAATTTACCTCCTTGCAGCAAGCATCAAGAAGAAACAGCTCCTTTCAGCTTCAGCACAGCCTGATTAGCACAAGTTGATTGGATCGGCCTCCCAACTCTCAGCTGTTTTGCTCTCAGCTGTTTTGCGCGGGCCTCTGCTGCTTGCTGCAAGGAGGTAAATTGCTGGGAGAATATATTTTTTTCTAATCAAGCTATGCTGAAAATGAAAATGAAAGTAAAGCAGGCTGTTTGCTGCAATGAGCCAAAATTGCTGGGATGCAGAGGCATCTTTTTCTTGTTTTCCTCACCAAAAAAAGGTAGGTGCGTCTTATACTCTGAAAAATATGGTATATACTGCTTCATAGTGATTCACAGCTCTCTGTAAGCAGTTTACAGAGTTAGCCTACTGCCCCCAATAATTGGGTCCTCATTTTACTGACCTCGGAAGGATGAAAGGCTGAGTCAAAATTGAGCCGGTGAGGATTGAACTGTTCACAGTTGGCAGAATTAGCCTGCATTCTAACCACTATGCAGGCCGGGAAGGAGGAAGGAAGGAAGGAAGGAAGGAAGGAAGGAAGGAAGGAAGGAAGGAAGGAAGGAAGGGCAACAGCAATAGCAGACTTATATACCGCTTCACAGTACTTTTACAGCCCTCTCTAAGCGGTTTACAGAGTCAGCCTCTTGCCCCCCAACAGTCTGGGTCCTCATTTTATGGACCTCAGAAGGACAGAAGGCTGAGTCAATCTCGAGCCAGTCAGGATCGAACTGTTGGCAGTCGGCAGAATTAGCTTGCAATACTGCATTCTAACCACTGCGCCACCACGGCTCTTAGTCTATGGCAGTACTTGGTGATTTTTCAGTGTGTTTCATTCAGTCATTCAGTCATTCATTCATTCATTCATTCATTTATTAAATTTTTATACCGCCCTTCTCCCGTTTATACCTGTTTCAGTACAGGTAGTCCTTGACTTACAACCATTCGTTTAGCAAGCATTCAAAGTTACAACAGCACACTGGGAAAAAAAAGACTTACAGCCAATCTTTGGACTTAGGACCGTGGTGGCATCCACACAATCACATGATCAAAATTCGGGCACTTGGCAACCAACTTGGGGTTTCCTGATTGCCATTGGGGACCTTCGCGGCCAGCTTCCGACAAGCAAGATCAGTAGGGAAGCTGGATTTGCTTAATGACCATGTGATTCACTTAAGAACTGCCATGATTTGCTTAACAATAGCGGCAAAGAAAACTTGCAAAACCAGGAGTGATTCATTCAACAACCCGCCTTGATTACAAATATTAAATTCTGATCCCAAGTTGAGGATTAACTGTAGTGGGCAATGAACGCTCTACAAGAAAACAACCAAACTGAGAGAGCACCAAGGATCCCATAGTCGTTCTCCTCCTCCTCCTCCTCCTCCTCCTCCTCCTCCTCCTCCTCCCCCTCCTCCTCCTCCTCCTCCTCCTCCTCCTCCTCCTCCTCCTCCCCCTCCTCTTCCTCCTCCTCCTCCTCCTCTTCTCTGCAAACCCCTCTCCCTTCTAGCACTGATGTTGTTACCTACTTGGCCCTTCAAGAGAACAACCACGTTTTGAGAAAACCTCTATAGTTGTTTAACCCTACACAAATTCTCTTCTACGGGTATGAATTTCTGGGGCACGGACTCTTTCCTTCCTGGCCATCACACCGTCTCTTTCCTTCTGAAGGTGAATGTGCAGGAGCTGGCGCTGCCAGCTGCAAGTCGCTCTGGGCCAACACAGCAATGGTGAAGAAGGAAAAGCTGTCCGACGTGGTAGGGACAGACCGCTACCGTGTCAGCAACAAGCACGATTCCAGATATACTGTCCGCACCCCAGATCAGATTATCTCTATTGCAAACGGTCTGGAGGGCAAAACAGTGGAATATAAAATCACCAGCCAGAACTGTGAGCATTTTTCCAACTCCCTGCGCTACGACGTGGCCCGGAGTGACCAAGTGAGTGTTTGTCTTGACCTTTCTCAGGATTAGGTAACCTGATCTTTTCTTGCACCAAAGAAAAATCTTTGCTGATTGTCTTTCTCTTCAATTTGCAGATCCGGGATGTGGCATTGATAGGAATGTCAGCAGCTTTGGTCCTGCTGTTAGTCTGAAGATCTAGCAAGGAGAACTTTAACCTGGCTTCAAGGAAGAGTCACTGAGAATTCACTTTTTCCAATATTATTTGTTTGCCTTCTTCCTCTTTGTCTCTCTCTCTCTCTCTCTCTCTCTCTCTCTCTCCATCTTCTCTTCCTTTTTCTTGAGATAAGCGTTTCTCACAAGAAAAATCTATGCTTGGTGCTCTCCTCTCCAGTTTCTTTTTTCTTTCTTTCTTTCTTTCTTTTTTTAAAAAAAGTTTTTATTTTTTAAAAGAACTATAAACACTCCATCTTCCCTTAAACAGTGTGCCGTCTGGGTCAGTGGTGAAATCCAAATTTCTTTACTACCGGTTCTGTGGGCGTGGCTTGGTGGGCATGGTGTGGCTTGGTGGGCGTGATTTGGTGGGTGTGGCAGGGGAAGGATACTGCAAAATCTCCATTCCCACCCCACTCCTGGGGAAGGATACTGCAAAATCTCCTTTTGCAGGGGAAGGATACTGCAAAATCCCCATTCCCAGCCCACTCCAGGGGAAGGATACTGCGAAATCTCCATTCCCTCCCCACTCCAGGGGAAGGATACTGCAAAATCTCCATTCCCACCCCACTCCAGGAAAAGGATACTGCGAAATCTCCATTCCCACCCCACTCCAGGAGGATACTGTAAAATCTCCATTCCTTCCCCACTCCAGGGGAAGGATACTGCAAAATCCCCATTCTTGGGGGAAGGATATTGCAAAATCCCCATTCCCACCCCACTCTAGGGGAAGGATACTGCAAAATCCCCATTCCCACCCCACTCCAGGAGAAGGATACTGCAAAATCCCCATTCCCACCCCACTCTGGGGCCAGCCAGAGGTGGCATTTGCCGGTTCTCCGAACTATTCAAAATTTCCGCTACCGGTTTCTCCAGAACCTGCTGGATTTCACCCCTGGTACTAGAGTCTCCTGCATAAGCAGAGGGTTGGACTAGAAGACCTCCACGGTCCCTTCCAGCCCTATAATTCTACATTGGATATAGATTGCCATGCAGATGTTAACCAGATGTGGAGCAACGTTTCTCCAGCAGGGGGCAGCAACGCCAATTCTCGGTTGCTTTTAGAAGCAGAGGGAAAAAAATTGGCATATTTCCCAAGGACTCAGAAGGGAGGAGCCAGGCTGCCTGTCCTTCCCTTCAACCTTTTATCAGCTGATGTGTCAAAATCCCAGCTGACTTGCTGGTTGGCTTCAGCCGGAAAAAGGTTTGCTTCTTTTTTTATTAATTTATTTTATGGGGCTCTGTGCCGAATAAAATGACTAATTCAGTGCAATTTCCTGTTTCTCTGCTGCTTTCTCAATTCTTCCGGATGGGGGATGCAGGAGAGCAAGCATGGGATTGGGGGGGGGGGGGCAAAGCAAGGCCCTTGTTTCCAGCGTTTGATTTTCCACCAGTCAGGAAAGTTCTAAAATAAGACCCTGTGTGTGTGTGTGTTTTTTTTTTTTCCCCCCTAAGTGACAAGAGAGAGAGAGAGAGAGAGAGGGAGAAAACTAGCAAGCAACAGGACTTGGTTGCTGAATTGTAGCTTCACTTTGGAGTCGGGATTTGGCATCCTCTTGTGTGTTTTTGCGTGTGTGTGTGTGTGACTGTGTGTGTATGGGTATAGGGAGGTTCATTGCTTTTGTTTCCTCCAAGTATATTTGTTTGGTTTGTTTCCAGGTGCTTTTATTTTCTTTTGTGTTATTATTTTTAATTTTTTTAAACAGTATTTATCCGGGATGCTATAAGCCAGGTCTCGTGCCTTGGGCAGGAGGTTGGACTAGAAGACCTCCAAGGTCCCATCTACCCTATGATTATTCTATTCTATTCTATTCTATTCTATTCTATTCTATTCTATTCTATTCTATTCTATTCTATTCTATTCTATTCTATTTATTTTATTCTATTTTACTCTTATTTTCTCTCTTCTTTTCTCTTTTCTCTTCTCTCTTCTATTTTCTTCTATTTTCTATTCTATTCTATTCTATTCTATTCTATTCTATTCTATTCTATTCTATTCTATTCTATTCTATTCTATTCTACTCTACTCTACCCTACCTACCCTACTCTACACCATCTTCTCTTCTCTTCTCTTCTCTTCTCTTCTCTTCTCTTCTCTTCTCATCTCATCTCATCTCATCTCATCTCATCTCCTATTCTATTCTATTCTATTCTATTCTATTCTATTCTATTCTATTCTATTCTATTCTATTCTATTCTATTCTATTCTATTCTATTCCATTCCATTCCATTCCATTCCTTATTTGCAGCAGCTCTTGACTTCACTCATTTAATTTCTGTCCACCACATAGCAACTAAGGACACAGGTCAAGACTGACCCCTTCCACTGACTTCTTTTATAAGGCTTGGGGTGGGGGCTAACCTGGCCCAATCCAGGGATGCCAAGCAAAAGGGAGGGACAGAGGGGGTCATAAGACCCCGTTGCCAGGAGATGCCCCTTGTCATAATCCATTCAGGATCCTCAGCAGCTGCCAGGCCAGGGGACAGGAGACCCAGCCGGGCTAGTGCCATGTCTGACTTCTTTGTTTGGTTCTGTGATCGCGGATCCTGCCAGAACGCTGCCCACCCACCCAAGACCCTGCCCGCCGAGGGGGGCATCATGAAGGCGTCAACCTCTGTTCCTCTTAGGTTGCCGACAGGCAAGAAGCAGGCTGTAAATAAGCCACCGGCCCTGGAAGGCTCTAAAGATCCCAAGCCACTCACCAAAGCCCCCCAAAGCAGGTTGCCCCCCACTCACAAAGAGGCCCCCTTGAAGAAGGACGCTGGCAAGTCCACAGAGCATCCAAATTTAGTCGGGAAGAAGCTATGTTGGACAGAGGACAATGAAGCAAAACCGGTGGCTTCTCCACAAGGCAATGCCAAGCAGAAAACCAGCAGGGCCTTGGTGGGCCCGGCCCAAACTTCGGAGGGACACGGCCCACAAACCTTGAGTGTTACTGAGAAGCAGCTGTCAAGACCTCCCAACGCCACGATGAGAGGAGCACGAAGTGGTCTCCTCCACGCGCCACATGTGAACGCCAAGGGAGACCAGCCGGGGATGCCCACCAAGGCAGCCTCTGGGGCGGTCAAGACGGGTAACGCGGCGGCGTTGACAAAAAGCAAAAAACTACACAATCAGGTTTTGGTTTCCAAAGGTACGGAGCTCTGGATGACGCAAGCAACTGAGCAACACCTGTGTTGCCTGCAAATTCAGGCAAAACCCACCTCCCCCACTGAGTTTGGTGTGGAGTTGATAAGAATATCATCACCCTGAATGAGAGAAAGAGAGAAAGAAAGAAAGAAAGAAAGAGAGAAAGAGAGAGAGAGAAAGAAAGAAAGAAAGAGAGAGACAGAGAAAGAGAAAGAGAGAGACAGAAAGAAAGAGAGAGAAAGGGTGAGAAAGTGAGTGAAAGAAAGAGAGAGAGAGAAAGAGAAAGAGAGAAAGTGAGAGAAAGAGAGAAAGAAAGAGAAAAAGAGAGAGAAAGAGAAAGAGAAAGAGAGAGAGAAAGAGAAAGTGAGAAAGAGGGTGAGTGAGAGAGAGATGTTCAGTTGACTGAGTTTCATATTTAATGAATAAAGATAATAATAATAATAATAATAATAATATAATAATAATAATAATAATAATAGTAGTAGTAATAGTAGTAGTAATAATAATAATGACTTGTTAAACTTGTATGCTGCCCAACTTTCCATAACTCTGAGTGGCCCACAATAATCAAACCATGGTTTGTTGGCTTTGATCAAAAAAAGAAAAGTGCTTAGGATACTTTGTCCTCAGAAACATTTACTTTCTGTTTATATCTTTCACATCGTGTCTTTTGTGATCGCTATTTTGCCTTTTTTGTTTTACGATTCTGGAAATTAGACTGAGAAAGCTTTAGACTGGATAGAGAGGCTTGAAACGAAAGGGATACGGGCTCAAATGGATATGAGTGTTCCTGGCTTGTCAGAATGATTGACGTTTTGGTTTAATTAATGTCTCAGGTCGTGGCTGTACAGTAGCACATGGTAACATGGACCACAAGAAGAACTCGATTCCTAAAATCATCAAAGCAAAGCTTTCCAATCTGGTAAGTGATCAAATTGAATAAAGGAGTCCAGAAAAAACGTGTAGAACTGCATCCATTTTCTGCCTTTTTCAACCAAAGTGATCCACATTATTTTATTATGCTGGTCTGTAACTGTACAGGCAGCCCTCGACTTACAACCACAATTGACCCCAAACATTTCCGTTGCTAAGCAAGACATTTGCTAACTGAGTTGTGCCCCATGTTACGCCTTTTCTTGCCACCGTTGTTAAGGGAATCGCTGAAGTTGTTAAGTTAGTCACACGGTCGTTGAAGCGAATCTGGCTTCCCCGTTGACTCTGCTTGTCAGATGGTCGCAAAACAGGATTGCATGCCACAACCCCGTGATTCACTTAACGACTGCATGAGTCACTTCACCCCAGTGATTCAGTTAACAACCATGGCCAAAAGTCATCAAATTGGGTGTGAATCCCTTAACCGTGGCTTTGCTCAGCAATGGAAATCCTAGTTCCAATTGTGGCCGTAAGTCGAGGACTACATGTACAGTAGTGGCCAAAATTGTGGACATCTTTTGGCAAAAGTGTGTTTTCTAAAACTAGCTAATAACACCACTTTTTTGGGGGGGGGAGTAGTACCATAAAATTAATATATCAATGGAATGATAATTTAATCCAGAATGTAATGCAGTAACTTTTAGGAAGGATTTGCTATTAGAGTAGCAGTTACAATATAAAGAAGAAAAGCGAAACACGTAGAAAAAACAAGATAGACAAAAATGGTCACCATGTCAGTTAATAGTTGGGTAACCTTTAGAATGAATGACGGCCTTACAACGTCTTCCCATGGAGGGAACCAAGTCTTTGAGTTCTGCAGCTGTTCTAAAGTGAAACCAAGATGGAATGACGGCTTCTATTAACTGGGTTTTATTGCTGGATCGCTTCTGACTAACAAAGTTGCTTGAGTCGGCTCCATAGATTTTCAATTGGGTGAAGGTCTGGGCTATTCCCAGGCATTTCCATTCCAGCAGTGGAATAGGATTCTCTTGAAACTCCCCCCCCCAAAAAAGTGGTGTTATTAGCCATCAAACCTCAAAAATACACTTTCCCCAAAAGGTTCCCACAATTTTGGCCACTACTGTATTGTTGTGGATTTAATAAGACCAACACAACTTTTCTGGGTTAACCAGAGACAATGTATATTGCGCAATAGGTTCAAAGCTCTGTTTCAATTGTTGTAGGGGTTCTCCTTTTCTAGTATAAGCCAAATAAAAACTGGCTGGCTTTTTTTGCAGGCTAAACTTCTAATGAAGCTGCTACTAGGAGGCAGGAAGTTTGATTGTGTTTCCTGGTTAATCGGAGGAAATGGTTGAGCCTTGGTGCTTTAAGAGCTGATATCTGATACCCCACACCCATGGCAGCAACATTTCTCTTTGAAGCCTAGCCATCCAATTGGAAAATGACTCATTGTCCAGTTGTCTCTTATTGGACTGCGTCAATTTTTCCATGTGATGCTTTCCAGAGCCAACTCAGCTCTCCCACTTCCACTTTCCATCCTGATTATTCCAAATTGTTAGTTCTGTTCAGGCAGCTTCTAAAAGAACAGTTGTTCGTGTGGGGTTTTTTTTTTGGGTGTGTTTGTGTGTCCTATCTTGGTGAAAAAGTCAAAGCTGCAGCTAGCAGAGATACAAACAGTGACATATCCAGCATGGACGAGGTAAGAAAACAGAAGAGAGAAAGAGGGTGGCTTTAAAATTGTGCAAAAATCAGAAGTTCATAAATTGTGGACCTGCTTTGCACGGGGGAGAAAAAACTACTGTTGTTGAAATATATTTCTCCATATTCAACCAGGAGGGAGAATCTATGTGTATGCTTTTTTTAAAAAAATTCCTTTTTAATGTAGTTTTTTCCCCTTGTTGAAATTTGCTTTAGCTTTGCTCTTGTTTTCTTTTGAAGTTTGTATTTTAACTTTGGAAATGAAAACAAAAAACTGCACGAAAAAAAAAAGGGCACAAATACTCTTACATATTTGACAAGGAGGTTACGGACGAGAATTTTCTCTTTCGGTTTCTCATAAAAGCCAGCTCAAATCAATACGATTTTAAAAAGTTTCACTTTTTACCCAGCCAGCTCACTAATTTATGGAACTTAAAGGTGCTTCAATATTATGATGGGCATGATGGATAACTTCTTGAAAGTTTTGAAACTTATATTTTGGAGAATGTTTTCTTAATGTATGAAGGAGGGGAAAAATATATAGAAAGAAAGAAAGATTGGTTATATTTGGGAGATTCGTTTATGATGTTAAAAGGTTTAACTAAAGTTGGATAACTTTTTGAACTTTATTGTAGTTTTAAAATATTGAAGTGAGAGATTTTAAAATGCTTAAATTAAGATTATAGTTTTTTTTTTCTTTATAAATGTGAAATGTGATAAGAATTTATAAACGGAAGGTTGAAGTAGAATTCTTAAAGGGGGAGTTAACGAGCGTGAGAGAGTTTTGAATTCTGTAGAAGTTAGTATATTTTAGCTTATGTTTATTAAATGCTATATCCTGTTTTTGCTCTGGGAAGTCGGGGGGAGTTGGGGAGGGGGGATTTGGGGGGGAAATGATGTATAATAATTCATTTTGTATTGTTTGGTTATTTTAACATAAAAATAAAAACTTTGTTGTAAAAAAAATATTACGATGGGCATAAATTTGGGTAGCTTAGTTTTTTAAAAAATAAATAAATTGGAAAGGTAGCTATTTTCTGTATCCTAACTGTTTAAAATGGCAGAAGGCAATATGTGCGATCATATGAAGATAAGTTGAAAATAAAGTTCCTAAGGCTTTCGTCTTGTATGCATAAGTGTGTCCCCATGAGGTTTTATGCAGGTGTCATAAACATCTGTTGTTTTGCTTTGTTGGAAATGCGGAATAAGATCCTGTGACTTGCTTGGTTGGAAGTATCAAGAGTTGTAACACAACAACAGTTGTGTTACAGTAAAGCAAAGAAGGAACAGTTGAGTTCATACAGAGCAAGTCAGGTCAAAATTGGTTAGTCAGATTTGTTTTAAGTAAAGATTTGGGTAGATGGGTTAGATCTGGCCAAGCCAAGCCAAGTGGATTAATTTACTACCACTCAGCTCGTAATGCACAATCCCCAAAATGGGGAGATTTCAGAAACGAAACGGAAAGTGTTGTGTGAATGCAGCCATTTCTTCCCACAGATTCGGGGCCTTTTGTGGGCAAAGAAGCTGCAGTTAGGGAGAACTAGAAGCAGTGTTTGCGCGTCTTTGTGTACAGCTCTTTGTGGTACAAATGAGTTTCTTTCGGTTGCATTTGGTACACAGCAATTGTCATAAATATGAATCAGTTGCCAAGTGTCTCAATTTTGATCACATGACCATGGGGTTGCTGCAGGGGTGAAATGCTCCTGATTCAGTCCGGTTTGCCCGAACCGGCAGTTTAAAATGCTTTAAAAAGTTAAAACAAAAGTTCTGACGATCGACAGCTGATCTTTGGAATTTTTTTTTTATTTTTACTTTTTAAGCATTTTTTTAACTACCGGTAAACTGGTAGCAGATTTCAGAGCATTTCACCCCTGGGTTGCTGCCACAGTTGTGTGAAGAAAAAAAAAACCCCGGTCATAAGTCACTTTTTTCAGTGAACAGTCACTAAATGAACTGTTGAGGTCTACCTGTAGATGGACAAAAAATTCATCCACCAGCATGCTAGGTGTTGCAATCCACACCTGTTAAAATTGACCAAAAAAATATCTCAATCCACCTCCTCCAATTAAACCTGTTTCCGTTTCTTTCCTGCAACAAATTTATGTGATAAAAATCATCCCTTCTTCTTTTTTCTTCTTGTGCCATATCCGTCATCGGACGTTGGCGATCCTATTTTTATCAACAGCTGCATGAAAAAGGGCTGCTTCAGTTTTGTTCAAACCGGTCAGTCCCTTAGATTTTGAAGCCATGATGTTCTTTTTCTGCCTGGACCTCGTTTGCCTTCAACCTTCCCCTGGAGGATTAAGCGAAGTATTTGAATCTTTGTGGGCATTTCAAAATCCTGCTTTGTGGGCACGATTTGAGCTGTTGTTTATTGAAGTATTTTTGTGTTTGTGTGTGTGTGTGTGAGAGAGAGAGAGAGAGAATTAGCTGGCTGAGATCAAAGTTTCATCATGTTTTCAGTTTCACTATGTCATGTTTGCCAAAGAGAAACAGAGAAGTGAATATCTGGTGGATTCTTGAACCATGGAAAATAACCTTACCTAAATAATTATGGAGCTGCTCGAACATCCAGGTTCATGGTTACCCCTTTTCAAAAGGAAACTGGACTTTTGGGGGGTTTCCCCCCCCTTGAAAATGTTTTGCTTCTTATCCAAGAACCGAAGAAGCTTCTTAGATGAGAAGCAAAACGTTTTCAAGGAAAAAAAGGACAAAGAAGAAAGTCCAATTGCTTTTTTGGAGAAGCGCCTAAACTGGGATTTATCTCAAAACATTTTTATCCAACAAGGTTTGTTTCCTGTTGGAGTAGAGGCATTCCTCGACTTAAAACCACAATCGGGATATCAGAATTTCCGTGGCTAAGCAAAGGTGCGTTTGTTAAAGAGAGTTGTTAAGCAAATCGCGGTAGTTGTTGTGTGAATGGGGCAGTTGTTAAAATGATCCTCGTATGTCGGAAACTGGCTGGGGAGGTCACAGCTGGTGATCATATGAATTATTGTACATACATGCCAAGTGCCCGAATTTTGATCACGTGACTATGGGGATAGTCATAAGTGCGAGGACTGGTTATAAGTCATTTTTTTCAGTGCTGTTGCAACTTTGAACGGTCGCTAAATGAATGGTTGTAAGCTGAGGACTATCTGTAAAACCTTCAATTCGGCAAGTGGACTCAACCCCGCAGTACAGGTGTTCCTCAACTTGGGATCAAAATTGAGCCCAAAATTTCTGTCGCTAAGTGTGAGACGTTTGTTATGTGAAATTTTGCCCCGTTTTACAACCTTTCTTGCCACAGTTGTTAAGCGAATCACTGTGGTTATTAAGTTAGGGACACGGTTGTTAAGCGAATCTGGCTTTCTTGTTGGAAAGTCACAAAAGGAATCACCTGACCTCAGGACCCTGCAAACCATCATAACTACGAGTCAGTCGCCAAGCGTCTGAATTTCAATCACACGAACACCCACAGGGATATTCCCATGGTCATAAAGTGTGAAAAACAGTCCTAAGTCGCTTTTTTCAGTGCCGTTGTAACTTTGAACGGTCACTAAAAGGAACTGTTGTATGTCGAGAACTCCCCGTAACACAGATTTGCCCAACATTTTTAGGGAGCGGAGGAGAATATTTGTATGCATGTGTGCGCGTATCTCCTAAGGTTAGTTTTTGACATTATTTTCCTTCATTAAAACAAAAAAACGCTCCGAGCATCGGATTTATAATTGATTGCTCAAACATTTTGAAACACTAACCTTTAGCAGAAATTGGGGAATCTGATGCTGTCTACACCTAATATGATGTGCTCCTTTGGATTAGCTGCTTGTAAATAATGAATTGCTGGAAAAACTAATCAATAAAGGAGAAAGTTCCCTGCAGGACACGAGAGAAGCCCTGGAATTGATTCAGCATCTGTAATAACAAGCACAACAAGAGCCACAAATAATTGTCAGTTGCATACGGAGGTTGCGTGGCTAGGGGGGAAAAAACATTTTTTTAACAGATAAGGATGTTCTCGGGCTGCAAAAATCCTTCAAGAACACTTAGGACCATTCAAGAGAACGATTAAAACGAACTGCTGATAGGAACACTTTCTCTGTTTTATGTGGTGGGGGGGGGACAACAATCTGCAAAGGGTGTAAAGGGTAAGAAAAAACACCGCAAACAATGGAACGATAATTTGCAATGCTAAGGAACAATGGGTTTTCCATGAATCTCCATCAGCGTCCAAAGCAGTAGGGCTTTTGAATAAAAGAAACATTTGTCCACTGTTCTGGAATGCCCCTTCTTTAGCCTGGATTATCCGGTGACGGAGTTGTTGTTTTTTTGTGTGTGTGTTTTCTAGCTCTTATAGATGTTCTTTTCTTTCTCAGATGCCCTTAGCTGGGAGGTTTATTTTTAAAGCGTTGGTTTTCTATTCTGTTTTGCATTCATGGTCTTGTGTAGGAGAAAAAGAGGCAGAGATGGGGGAGGCGGAGGCAAACGTGTCATTAGTCTAGAATCATGATGTTCCCATAAGTAGCCTTTTAACTCCAGCCTCTCTTGAGTTCCGTTGACCTTTATCTAGCACCAATTTATTATTAAACAACTAACGTGTTTCCCTGAAAATAAGACCCTGTCTTATATTTTTTTTGAACCCCAAAATAAGCGCTTGGCCTTATTTTCAGGGAGGTCTTATTATTTTGGGGTGCGTGGAGCAAGACGGGGTTCCTCTTGCTGTCTTGCCTGATTTCCAGCTCTGTCTCCCTAACCCTTAAGCAGAGAAAATGGTGGGGACCGGCTGTGCATACATTTAAATATTTTTGGGGAGGGCTTATTTTTTGGGGGAAGGCTTATTTTTGGGAGGGCTTGTTTTCAGGGGGACCTTATTTTAGCCTATGCGCTCAAAAGCCCAATTGGGCTTATTATCCGGGGAGGTCTTATTTTTGGGGAAACAGGGTAGTAACACTAACAGAGCTAGAAAGGGACTTTGAAGGTCATCTAGTTCAACCCCCTGCTCTCTCAGGAGAATTGTACTATTGCTGAATAAATGGCTCCTATTTCTTAGAAGCCTCCAGTGATGGAGCACGCACAACTTCCGAAGGCAGATTGCTCCACTGGTTAATTGTTCTCACTGTTAAGAATTTTCTCCTTCATTCTAGGTCCGTGATGGCGAACCTATGGAACGGGTGCCAAAGGTGGCATGTGGAGCCATATTGGTGGGCACGCGAGCTCAGCTCCGGCACACATTCTTGCGCCGGCCAGAAGATTTTTGGGCCTTCTGGGCCGACCAGAAGTCAGGAAACATGCTGTTTCCAGCCTCCTGGGTGGGGAAGGCTGTTTTTGCCCTCCCCAGGCTCCTAGAAAGGCTCTGGAGCCTGGGGAGAGCAAAAAATGGGCCTACCGGACTAACTGGGCCATCACGTGCCAAAATTAGGGGGAGCACGGGGAGGGGCGGGCCGCATAGAATTATGGATGTGGGCACGCGTGCGTATGACCCCCCCCGCGCTCTCCCCCTTTTGGCACGCGATGGCAAAAAGGTTAGCCATCACTGTTCTAGGTTGATTCTCTTCTTGGTTAGTTTCTCGAGCAATAAACCTTCTTAACTGGGACTTGATGCGTGATCCTGATTCTTTTGCTCCCATTGTCTTCTTCTATTCACAGGTTGATCTGGAACTCGGGGACTTGATAGAAATCTTCCGCTTGGCTTACCAGCATTGGGCGATCTACGTGGGGAATGGTTATGTGATCCATCTCGCTCCGCCAAGTAAGGAAGGCTCTTTTGGGTGGGTGGCCAAATGACATTGGTTTTGCTCCTCTGCATTTTAACCACAATTCTAACCCTGGGAAATTGAGCAATGTTAGCCAGGATGTAGGTAGTCCTTGATTTACAACCATTCGTTTGGTGAGTGTTTGAAATGACATCGGCACTGAAAAAATGGATTTCTATCGTAAGTCAATGCAGTTATAAAGCAGTCATCATATGATTGTAGTATACCCATTTTTTAAAAAATATGCAGGTTTATTTAGTTGTAAAGGTAAAGGTTCCCCTCGCACATGTGTGCTAGTCGTTCCAGACTCTAGGGGGCGCTGCTCATCTCCATTTCAAATCCGAAGAGCCAGCGCTGTCCGAAAACGTCTCCGTGGTCATGTGGCTGGCATGACTCAATGCCAAAGGCGCATGGAAAACGCTGTTCCCTTCCCACCACAGGTGGTCCCTATTTTTCTACTTCCATTTTTTTAATGTGCTTTCGAACTGCTAGGTTGGCAGAAGCTGGGACAAGTCACGGGAGCTCACCCTGTTACGCGGCAGCACTAGGGATTCGAACCGCTGAACTGCTGACCTTTCGGTCAACAAGCTCAGCGTCTTAGCCACTGAGCCACCACGTCTTAATTTAGTTGTATCCGGCCTTTATTATTTTTACAAATAACTCAAGGAGGCAAACATATGCAACACACCTTCCTTCTCCTATTTTCCCTGCAGCAACAACCTTGTGAGGTGAATTGGGCTGAGAAAGAGGCTCAAAGTCACCCAGCTGACTTTCATGCTTAAGGTAGAACTAGAACTCACAGTCTGATGATTGAGCCAAAGTCACCCAACTGGCTTTCATGCTTAAGATGGAACTAGAACTCGCTGTCCTGGTGATTGGCCCAAAAGTCACCCAGCTGCCTTTCATACTTAAGGTGGGACTAGAACCTACAGACTCATAGTGATTAACCCTAAGTCACCCAGTTGGCTAAGGCTGGACTAGAATTCACTGTCTCCCAGTTTCTGGCTTGGTGCCTTAAACACTTTCAAGGGTACCCCACCTTGGCAACTTTAAGACTTGTGGACTTCCTTTCCCAGAATTCTTAGCGAAGAGCGTATTTATTTCTGAGAATTAAGTCCACCTATCAGAAGGGTGTCCAGGGAACAGAAGGCTGATCTAAGCTAATATCTAGGACAGGGTTATCCAACCTTGGCAGCTTTAAGACCTGTGGCTGGCTGGGGAACTCTGGGAGTTGAAGTCCACAAGCCCGCCCTGTTGTCGTCCGCTGGCAGCCTGCGGAGCTGGCAGCAGAGTCTGACAGTGAGGAGGTTGGGGAGGAACATGGGCCAGTCCTGGAGTCTGGGGAAGGCTCAGATGAGGGCTCTGAGTCGGAGGCAGAGAGGGAGCCAGGGCCATCTGGGAGTGATGTGCTGCCTCCGGAGCCTCCAGACTTGGACATCAGCGAGGCAGAGGAACAGGGGGAGCCTGTTCCCAGTGCGCACATACACAGAGCTGCCAGAAGGCAAGAATAGTTAAGACAAAAGGGACGACTCAGGAATAGGGCTTGGAGATGATTGGCCCTTCGCATAAGACATAAAGGAGGAGCAAAGGCACCTGAGCCTTTGCAGGAAGCAACTTTGTTCGTTCTGGTTGGTTTAAATTCTGAAGCTCCATTCTGACTCTGTGCTCCGTGTGGCCTTGCAAAGCTAATTGCCAATTAGGTCTTTGGCAGCGTGTCAAGGGAGATAAAGGTGGGTGCTGATCAGCCTTATCCCGAAGGACTGTGGCAGACTTCTGTCGGGCTCTTTACAAACTCTTGGTGATTCAGCACGGGCTGTGAATGAACGTAATTCACAGCCGTTGAAATTAAAAAAAGAGGGGTTTGGAGACCAATCATGTGCTTTTTTACTGTCTCAGGAAGAACATGCCCTAGATCATACTACTCTCCATGAATGACCATCCTACTCTTTCTTTCCACCCTTCAAGGTGAACTTGCCGGAGCTGGTTGCGCCAGCCTCATGTCCACCCTCACCAACAAGGCCTGGGTGAAGAAGGAACGGCTCTTGGAAGTGGTGGGCCACGACCGATACCGGGTCAACAACAAACACGATTCCAAATATACCCCACTGCCTGTCAACAAGATTATCCAGCTGGCTGAAGAGAAGGTGGGCCAAGAACTGGATTATAAAATCACCAGTGAGAATTGTGAGCACTTCGTCACCGAACTGCGCTACGGCGTGGCCAGGAGCGATCAAGTAAGGGGGAACTCTTCGTGGTTTTTCTGGATGAAATTGGGGTGGGGGTGTGTGTGTCTTTTTTTTGCAGGTTTGCAAGCCTTTGGAGAATCCTCGTGTGTAAACGCCTCCCGTTAACTTTCCTGCGTTTGCCATATGAGGCATCTATTATTATACAACTAGTCCTCAAGGTTACAGTGGCACTGAAAAAAAGTGAGTTATGACCAGGGATGGAATCCAGCAGGTTCTGACAAATTCTGGAGAACCGGTAGTGGAAATTTTGAGTAGTTTGGAGAACAGGCAAATACCACCTCTGGCTGCCGCGGAGTAGGGTGGGAATGAAGATTTTGCAATATCCTTTCCCCAGGAGTGGGGAGGGAATGGGGATTTTGCAGTAACCTTCCCCTGGAGTGGGGTGGGAATGGAGATTTTGCAGTATCCTTCCCCTGGAGTGGGGTGGGAATGGAGATTTTGCAGTATCCTTTCCCCAGGAGTGGGGTGGGAATGGAGATTTTGCAGTATCCTTTCCCCAGGAGTGGGGAGGGAATGGGGATTTTGCAGTATCCTTTCCCCAGGAGTGGGGAGAGAATGGGGATTTTGCAGTATCCTTCCCCTGGAGTGGGGAGGGAATGGAGATTTTGCAGTATCCTTCTGCCAGGAGTGGGGAGGGAATGGAGATTTTGCAGTATCCTTTCCCCAGGAGTGGGGAGGGAATGGGGATTTTGCAGTATCCTTCCCCTGGAGTGGGGTGGGAATGGGGATTTTGCAGTATCCTTCCCCTGGAGTGGGGTGGGAATGGAGATTTTGCAGTATCCTTTCCCCAGCAGTGGGGAGGGAATGGGGATTTTGCAGTATCCTTTCCCTGGAGTGGGGTGGGAATGGAGATTTTGCAGTATCCTTTCCCCAGGAGTGGGGAGAGAATGGGGATTTTGCAGTATCCTTTCCCCAGCAGTGGGGTGGGAATGGAGATTTTGCAGTATCCTTCCTCTGGAGTGGGGAGGGAATGGAGATTTTGCAATATCCTTCCCCCAGGAGTGGGGTGGGAATGGAAATTTTGCAGTATCCTTCCCCTGGAGTGGGGAGGGAATGGAGATTTTGCAATATCCTTCCTCCTGGAGTGATTCTGATTCAAATCTTTACCCATCATTATTTCTTCCCACCTTGCAGGTCCGAGATTTCTTTGTGGGGGCGACCATCGCAGGCTTGGCTGGCTTGTTCGTTGGTGTCGGCACAGCCATGGTTAGGAGGAAAAAGCAGCAGAACCAATAATGAGGAAAAAGCAGATTTCTCAGAGCTCCCCGTCTCCCTGGCGTTTGTGTGTGTGTGCTAAGTTTCTAAAAAGTTGAGATACGATCACCGTGAGAGAGAGAAAAAAAAAAAATAACAAAGTGATTTGCAGCTGTCTCTTCAAATCCCATCTTCTCCTTAACGCCCAGGTGGGAGTCTAATGTCCATAGCTATGTTCAGGTCACAGATGGTCTGAGTAACTAACTCTTCACTTAATCCAGGGTAAATGGATTTTGCCTTCCTCCAGGAAAGGCTGACATTAACAAACTTGGATTAGATTAAAGGTTTGCAACTGGCCTCCCCAGATTCTGGGCTAAAATTCAAGACAGATGGTAGATGTAGCGACGGTTTGAAGGTCAAAGGAATTATTAGGCAGAGCCAGTTAATAATCTGATTTCATTTCAATGTGCAATACCGTGTTTTATTTTCATGGAATTAACTGGCACCCTGTTTTCCACTATGCTTCTGCTTTACCTTTTAAAAAATAACAGTTTAGCATCCAATTCTGGAGAATTAAAGTTTTGGGATGGACCAGATGTGTTTTTTTAGCTTCAGGACGTCGGTCCTGGCCAAGAGAGCTGTAGATAATACAAGTAGTTGTTTAGTGACCGTTTGAAGTTACAACAGCACTGAAAAAAAGTCACCCAGGACTCTTTTTCACACTTAATGACCGTTGCAGCATCCCCTCCCCCCCCATGGTCACGTGATTGAAATTCAGACGCTTGGCAACGGATTCATATTTATGACGGTTGCAGTGTCCCCTTGTCACGTGATCCCGTTTTGCGACCTTCTGACGAGAAAAGTCAACAGGGAAGCCAGAATCGCTTAACAACCGTGTGGCTAGCTTAACAGCTGCAGCGATTCGCTTAACAACTCTGGCAAGGAAGGTCGTAAAATGGGGCAACACTCACTTCACTGGTGTCTCACTTAACAACGGAAATTTGGGGCTCAACTCTGGTTGTTAAGTCGGGGACTGCCCTGTACTATATAGAGATCCTTTGAGATATGAATATCCTCCAAATATATTACAAATGCATTTCAAACTCTTTCAGGCCGCAGAAGCTGTTAGTTAATTTAAATATATATATATATATCCTTGAATTTCTGATCTAGAGGCAAATCTGTTGTGATGGGAAATCTATTGTGTCTGAATTGAAACCTACCAAATTTTCATGGACCTCCTTTGAGGGTTTCACAGAACAGTTTGAAACAAACCATCATTGGGTTACAATTTCCCTTCTTCAACAGATTTTTCCTGACATGGCACTTGAAAGGGGGTTTCTTCTATCCCCCATGTGAGCCCTCTCTATAACTGCAGTTTCCAATGTTTGTACGAAACTTTTAGCACCATACTTCCCCGTCCCCACGAAGGCACGAGGCGAACAAAGCCTTGGCAGATGTTATTTCCAGTGAAATTAGTGGCAGAATTATTTTTTCCACCGTTATTAGTTATTTAGCCCCGGAGAACTGTTACTCGTGAGGCTGATGTACGCCTTTTGAATAAATTTAAATGCAAATGTATATTTAATTTAAATATAATTATATTTAACATCAATTTAGTAAATAAATAAAGCTTGCTTGATTTTTTTCCACCCGTGTGGCTGAAGTGAAATTCCTTACTTACCCTACATATATACACACATACATATCATATACATCTATCTGTCTGTCTATCTATCTTCTCTCTCCCATCTATTTCTATCTATCTATCATTATCTATCTATATTGCTATCTATCTCTACCTACCTGCCTACCTACCTATCTATCGCTATCTATTGCTATCTATCTTTTATCTATCTATCTATCTATCTATCTATCTATCTATCTATCTCTATCTCTCTATCTCTCTATCTCTCTATCTTATCTATCTATCTATCTATCTATCTATCTATCTATCTATCTATCTCTACCTACCTACCTTACCTACCTACCTACCTACTGCTATCTATCTATTATCTATCTTCTCTCATCGATCTGTCTGTCTGTCTATATCTATATTTCTATCATCTATCTGTCTATCTGTCTATCTGTCTGTCTGTCTGTCTGTCTGTCTGTCTATCTATCTATCTATCTATCTATCTATCTATCTATCTATCTATCTATCATCTATAAATCTATATGTATCTATCACTATCTATCGCTGTCTCTACCTACCTACCTACCTACGTATCGCTATCTATCTATCTATCTATCTATCTATCTATCTATCTATCTATCTATCTATCTATCTATCTATCTATCGCTATATCTCTCTATCATCTATCTCTCTCATCTCTACCTACCTTACCTACCTACCTATCTATCTATTCTATCTATCTATCTATCTATCTATCTATCTATCTATCTATCTATATCTACATATCTATATCTCTCTACCATCTAACTATCTATTCATATTTATCTGTCTCTGTCTCTCTGTCTCTCTATAATCTGTATACATACACATACTACATACACATATCATATACATATACATACAGATCAGTGGTAGGTTGCTACCAGTTCGCCCCGGATCGGGCAAACTGGTAGTGGCGGCGGTAGGAGGCTCCGCCCACCCGCCCAGATGCAGAAGCGCAGGAGCGAGCACGCACGCTCCTAGGAGCGAACCAGTAGTGATGGATTTTGAAACCCATCCCTGATACAGATATATACATTACACACATGCACGTGCGTACACACACACACACACACACACACACACACACACACACACACACACACACACACATAGACACCTCTCTTTTGCATTTCAGACAATTCCGCCGTTCCCTGCAGGGCAACAGGAGGTAAAACCTTGAAACAAAAAAATAACATTTCAGAGTCAGTCACTTTTTATTTGATAGCGAGAAAATACAGGGCAAAGACCAGTGATTAAAAAAGAAAAAAAGTGCCCACTGCCCTCTAATCACAGGTATAATGAGCATAACGAGACATCCCGTTTCGGTGCAAGAACAGCGATTAAAAAAAAATAAAATAAATCTGCCTCTTTTATGCTAAGGGTGAAAGAAGGGGTTTTATTTTATTTTTTTAAAATAAAACAACAACAAAACCAAATTGCTCTTTTCATATATGATTTATACTCGACACGAGGAAGCACACGCACACCAATAAAAGCTTTTGAGCTTTGAGCCTGGTTGCTTTTTTGAAGGAGCTGTGAATGATGACCGGGGTGGGTGGTGAGGCTTTTTGGTGGATGTTTTTGGGGATTTGGCGCGGTTCTTAATCACAGGGCTTAAGTCTGGAAGGTCTGAAGGAGCCACTTTCGATCACTTTGCAAGGAAAACAAAAAGAGGCATCTAAAAAGAGGGGGTTTAATTTGGAACACAGCGGGGCTGCCGTTTCCATTGCACCTTTCATTTGCTTTGCAAGATAACAGGTGAACAGAGTTGGATGGGATCTTGTAGGTCATCTAGTCCAACCCCCTGCCCAAGCAGGAGACATGACACCATTTCTGACAGATGGCAGTCAAATCTCTTCCTGAAAGCTTCCAGTGATGAAGCTCCCACAACTTCAGAAGGCAACTTCTGTTCCTTGGGTTGATGGTTCTCACTGTCAGAAAGTTCCTCCTTATTTCCAGGTTGAATCTCTCCTCCATCAGTTTCCATCCATTCCTTGTCTGACCTTCGGGTGCTTTGGGAAATAGCTTGACTCCCTTCCTCCTCTCTGGGGCAGCCCCTCAAATATTGGAAGACGGCTATCATGTCTCCCCTGGTCCTTCTCTTCACTAGACCAGCCAGGCCCAGTTCCTGCAACCGTTCTTCATATGTTTTAGCCTCCAGTCCCCTAATCGTCTTCATTGCTCTTCTCTGCACTCTTTCTAGAGTCTCAACATCTTTTTTTATAGTGTGGTGACCAAAACTGGATGCAGTACACTAGGTGTGGTCTTACTAAGGCTTTATAGAGTGGTGTTAGTACCTCCCTTGATCTTGATTCCATCCCTCTGTTAATGCAATTTTGGATTGCATTGGCTTTTTTGGCTGCCGTTGCAAATCTGACTGTGTTGATCCCTTCCCACCTTCCCTTTACTTCCCTGAGAAGTAGAAAAGGAGAGTTACTTATGTTATATTCAGGGGTGGGCTTCAAAAATTTTAGCAAGGGGTTCTCTGCCTGGTTGCTGGATGGGCGTGGCCTAGTTGGCCTCCTGCACCATGGTTGGGGGCGGGGGCGTGTTTTTGCCCTCCCCTGGCTCCGGAGGCTTTCCTCGAGCCTCCAGGAGGGTGAAAACGGCCTCCCCAGGCTCCAGAGGCCCTCTGGAGGCCGGAAACGGGCCTGTTTCCGGCCTTCCCAAACTTCTGCACGCACCCTGCACTTACCTGCATCCAAAACAGGCCACGTGTGGACTCCTGAGAGGGGCGGGGCAAGGTGGGCGGGGCTAGCGAGGAGTGGGATTTGGGGGGTTCTCCGAACTGCACAGAATCTTAGCTAGCGAACCCCCAGCAGCTCTGCTCGGTTTACGTGCGCACGCCTTCCTTCCACACATGCACCCAGCCTCAAAAACCGGGGTGGCAATTTTCACTACCGGTTCAGGCGAATTGGTCTGAACCGGCTCAATAGCACCTCTGGTTCGCAGTGTCCCAAGGCTGCCACAGTTAGCCACAATCAGCCTGAAATAATTTTAAATACACAGCTCAGATCTTGTTCTGAGTGACTGACAAGGAGTTTGACCCGGTGGGATTTTGCTTGCATTTTCAACTGATTTTAATTGGCAAAATGTCCTACTTGTAAAAAACAAAAAACTGTCAGTGTCATCCAGAGATGGATGGAAGCACAGCCAAGGATCAAAGGCAGATTAAAAAAAAAGAAAAAAAAGGCAGTTCTGTGAAAGTATTGAACCCTCTGGGTTGAGAAGATGACAGGGGATTAACTCTGCTGTGTGAACCAGGTTCATTGAGCAGTTAAGTTCTCTGTGACTGATGCATCCTTTCAGCTGGATGTGTCTTCCCAGCTGGCTTAACCAGGATCACATTTCCAGCGTGATCCTCTCTTGTTTGAAAAAGCCCCGGTGAGAAATGAGCTTTTGAAGGACCTCATAGAGAAAAGTTGATTTATGGAAAATCAAAACAAAGACATTAGAAATACGAGCCAACGAGTAAGCACCCCGCCACCCCAACAATATCTCCAGCCATGGAGAAGAAATGCCCCATATAGATTTGACCTGTTGTAAGTATTTTAATTCCCAAACTGCACTAACTGGGCAGCGACTGGATACCAGTAACCCAGAGTTATGGAGTGATATATGGAGGTTGCTTTCTTAGTTGCTCAAGAATAGAATAGAATAGAACAGAACAGAACAGAACAGAACAGAACAGAACAGAACAGAACAGAACAGAACAGAACAGAACAGAACAGAATAGAATAACAGAGTTGGAAGGGACCTTGGAGGTCTTCTAGTCCAACCCCCTGCTTAGGCAGGAAACCCTCCACCACTTCAGGCAAATGGTTATCCAACCTCTTCTTAAAAACTTCCAGTGTTGGAGCATTCACAACTTCTGGAGGCAAGTTGTTCCACTGGTTAATTGTTCTCACTGTCAGGAAATTTCTCCTTAGTTCTAAGTTGCTTCTCTCCTTGATTCATTTCCACCCGTTGCTTCTTGTCCTGTCCTCAGGGGCTTTGGAGAATAGCTTGACTCCCTCTTCTTTGTGTCTGCAACTTATTAAAGCAGCTGTGTCTGTTCCTGTGTCGTAAGTGGAGGACTACCTGTAGATGTCTCTTCTCCACAACTCCAATGGCTTTATCAACAGCCCGTTGTTGTAAGACAACAGGACAAGGCTTAATTTTATCCTTGGGTTCCTCAATAACCTGTTATTTTGTTCTTTGGACTTGGCTGGCCTGCTCTGTGCGCCTGCCTCTGAGACAAAAACCACATCACAGGATGTGAAAATTAAAAGCCAAATGCCAGGCAGACCCATTTCGACACTCACCCTTCTCTGCCAGGTTGTTCCAACAATTTCCCAATCTAATATTCTCCAGAAATCTTGCAAAAGGTCAGGATATTGGGCGGAGAACATGTTCAATTGAGAATAACATTCATTTCTTGTCCAGTGCCAGCTGCAAAGATTTATAGACGGGGGAAAAAAAAAATTAAGAGCGTGGGAAATCCTGCTATGGTTTCTCGAGGGTTATCGAGAACTTCAGGACAGCCCCCATCTCCCTTCCCTTGGGGGAGGGGGTGTCTTAGTCTGCACCCCTACTTGCAAAATCCTATCATCCTTACTATAAATCATCATCATACCCACAGAGAGACTTATAATTAGCTGATTTCACATTTGAATGACTCTATCCAAATTGTGCTTCGAAATGCTGATTGTCTCTGGAGTCAGAATAAAGAAAATATTCCAGTCTGAATATTTTGCATCTGAGCCCATCTCTCTTTTTGAAAGCAGATTTAAAAAAACCCTCGAGGTTTTGTTATTTTCAGTCTGAATCCAGCTCTGGAGACCTCAGCAAGTGTGTCTCTTATTCTTTGGCTTTAATGATAATCTTCAGTTTCATAATTTATTTCTGGTGTGTTTTTTCCCCATCGTTTTTCCTCTATATCAATGCTTCTCAACCTTGATAATTTTAAAATATCTGGATTTCAACTTCCAGAATCCAGCAGGCTAGTTAGCTGGGGAATTCTGGGAGTTGAAGTCCACCCATTTTAAAGCTTGCTGGTTGGGAATTCTGGGAGTGGAAGTCCATCCATCTTAAAACATACTAGCTGGGGAATTCTGGGAGTTGAAGTCTACCCATCTTAAAGCATACTGGATGGAGAATTCTGGGAGTTGAAATCAACCCATCTTAAAACCTGCTGGCTGGGGAATTCTGGGAGTTGAAGTCCACCCATCTTAAAACATACTGGCTGGGGAATTCTGGGAGTTAAAATCTACACATTTTAAATGCTCAGGCTGAAAAACACTGCTCTGTATCATACATTTTAAAACTTGGCTATTATAAAGTAGAAACCTCAATGAAACTGGATTTCTGAATTGGAAGAAGAGAAATGGCAAACGAGGTCACCAAAACATGAATTTAGTTTTATTTTCCCACGTAACCATGGGAACTTTTAATATACCAACAGCTGGCGTAGAGGTAGGGAAGAGGGAAAAAATGATTTGGGGTTTTTTGTTTTTTAACCTGTTCTCAAATCCATCCTCAAAAGGGAGATTACAAAATGTGGTCTGAGGGGGAGGGCGTGAATATTCGTGCCCCCCAAGTTCAAATTCCCTGATGGAATAAGGAGTTGGCTCCATTCCTCTCTTATAGCTTGTCACTATTTTTTTTTTTAAAATAAAACACTACCTTGTTTAGCTGCACCATTTTACAGTGCATTTCAGGTTATTATGGGGCTTATGTGTTCATTATCACTCGTGCTAGCTCCCTTTCATTTTTAAAAATTAACTTTGTGAGATGCCTGGAGGGTTTTTATTGTTTGAGAACAGAAAGGACAAGGCTGTTTTCAAGTGTCTGGCTGCAAAGATGAATTCATAAATAAGACATTACTTACTGGGCTTTATAGCTAGCAAGAGATTAATGCTCATACCATTTCCCCATCTGTTTTGGGTGGGGGGGTTTGTGAACAAATCACCATCCAGGCAGAAATGTGTTAACCGAAGGCGCGGATGTCCAGAGCAAAAGCGTGGTGCAAATCCATGCCAGCAGAGACATTACACTTTGGGCCACGCAGGGATGGGCTTCAAAAATTTTAGCAAGGGTTCTCTGCCTGGTTGCTGGATGGGCGTGGCCATGGTGGGCGTGGCCTAGTCAGTCTCCACCACGGCAGGGGGGGGGCGCATTTTTGCTCTCCCCGGGCTCCGGAGGCTTTTCTCAAGCCTCCAGGAGGGCGAAAACAACCTCCCCAGGCTCTGGAGGCCCTCTGGAGGCTGGAAACGGGATCGTTTCCTGAACGACGAGCCCATTTTTCACCCTCTCCGAGCCTCCGGGCACGCCCTGCACTTCCCTGCATCCAAAACGGGCCGCATGAGCCGGGTGGGTGGGGCGGGGCTAGCCAGGAGTGAGATTTGGGGGTTCTCCGAACTGCACAGAATCTTAACTAGAGGTTCTCCCGAACCCCTGAGAACCCGCAGCAGCCTACTCCTAGGGCCGCGATGGTGCAGTGCTTAGAGTGCAGTACTGCAGGCTACTTCTGCTGATCATCGGCTGCCAGAAGTTTGGCAGATCGAATCTCACCAGGTTCAAGGTTGACTCAGCCTTCTGTCCTTCTGAGGTCGGTAAAATGAGAACCCAGATTGTTTGGGGGGGGGGCAAGAGGCTGACTCTGTAAACTGCTTAGAGAGGGCTGTAAATGCACTGTGAAGCGGTATATAAGTCTAAGTGCTATTGCTAGTGGGAAAAAGTGCAGAGAAGAACTAGAGATTTTTAAGAAGAGACTGGAGAGCCATTTGTCTGGAACGGTATAGTCTCCTGCTTGAGCAGCGGGTTGGACTAGAAGACCTCTGAGTTCCCCTCCAGCTCTAGCCTGAATTTTTACATAAATTCGTTTCGCTTGATTTGCATTTGGATCAGAAATCACCTCTCTTCACTCACTACCTCCGAGTCTCTCAAAGGGTTTGTCTGCAATTCCTTGCCAGTCCTTGAAACTTTCTCATTCCTTCTCCCCTTGGGGAAACTGTGCTTGTTAGTCACAATCACACACTCTACTACAGGCAGTCTTTGATTTACGACCATTCATTTAGTGACCGTTCGAAGTTAGAATGGCACTAAAAAAAAAAAGGGACTACTTGTGACTCATCCATGCAGTTATAACCATTGCCGCTTCCTCACAGTTTACGTGATTAAAATTTGGGGATTTGGAAACTATCCGTATATTTATCACGGCTGCCACATGTTGTAAGCTTGTCCAGATGTTGTCAGAGGCGAGATGGATGGCAAATACATTTCATAATAAACAAATAAATTAAAACGTCCTGGGCTGACGTGATCACAGTTTGTGACGTTCCCAGCTGGCTTCCGACAGCCAGGTTCGCTTAACGACGGTGTGATTCACTTACCAACTGCAAAGGGAAACAGGAAGAATGGGATTGTATTTTGCCACTGCCATAAGACCATCTGGATTTTGGGAGCTTTTGTCCAGGGATCTCCAAATAATCTACAAAATAATAGCAATAGACTTATATACTGCTTTACAGTGCTTTACAGCCCTTTCTAAGTGGTATACAGAGTCAGCCTCTTGCCCCCCAACAATCTGGGTCCTCATTTTACCCACTTGGGAAGGACGGAAGGCTGAGTCAACCTTGAGCCGGTGAGGATTGAACTGCTGGCAGTGGGCAGAATTAGTCTGCAATCCTGCATTTTAACCATTGGGAGGGAGGGAGGGGGGGAAGGAAGGAAGGAAGGAAGGAAGGAAGGAAGGAAGAAAGAAAGAAAGAAAGAAAGAAAGAAAGAAGGTCAATAGCACTTAGACTTATATACCACTTCACAGTGCTTTACAGTCCTCTCTAAGTGGTCTACAGAGTCAGCCTCTTGCCCCCAACAATCTGGATCCTCATTTAATCCACCTCAGAAGGACGGAAGGCTGAGTCAACCTTGAGCCTGGCGAGATTCGAACTGCTAAATTGCAGTCAGCCGGCAGTCAGCAGAAATAGCCTGCAGTACTGCACTCTAACCACTGCGCCACCATGGCTCATAGCATTGTCATCAAATTAACCACCTGATTTTTTTTTAAAAAAAGTCTCCAATTGAGAAACTTTGTGGAAGGGGGACAGGACAACGACAGCTTGAGATACCCCTCAACCCTAAAGCCCTGCCTTCCCCCAACCCATTCACCTGCAGAGACCTCAAGAGTCTTTCTTGGTTACTCGGTAACAGGTGAGGTAGCACCTGTCCTATTATGTCACTCTAAGCACCAAGTAGGAAATGGGAGGTGAATTCATTTGCCACAGGAAAAAAAGTGAGCGCCCATTGCAGGTACTGGCGGGGTGGCTGGATGGGTGGAAGGGAAGGTGGCTGGATGGGTAGCTCCCCTTTCCCTTCCACTCTGCTTGATCCAGGCTGGGGTCTAGGGTGAATTGGATCGGGGACAGCCACGAGAGCAAGGTGGGGTGCATTTGGGGTGTGGGTGGATATTTTCTTCCTTGCTTTAGGGACCTCTCATGGTCCAGCTCTTCTCTCTTGACTTGGGGTTCTAATCATAAAAAAAAAGTCAGAAACCCCCAGCTCCAATTGGCCACTTTGGAGATTCAGTGACAACATGGCCAAATTTCAATGACTTCCTTCCTTCCTTCCTTCCTTCCTTCCTTCCTTCCTTCCTTCCTTCCTTCCTTCCTCCCTCCCTCCCTCCCTCCCGGTCTTCCTTCCTTCCTTCCTTCCTTCCTTCCTTCCTTCCTTCCTTCTTTCTTTCTTTCTTTCTTTCTTTCTTTCTTTCTTTCTTTCTTTCTTTCTTCCTTCCTTCCTTCCTTCCTTCCTTCCTTCCTTCCTTCCTTCCTTCCTTCCTTCCTTCCTTCCTTCCCTCTCTCTCTCCCTCCCTCCTTCCTTCCCTCCAGATCTTTTCTTCTTTCCTTCTTCCTTTTTTTTCTTCCTTCCTCCCTCCCTCCCTCCTTCCCTCCAAGTCTCTTCTTTCTTTCTTTCTCTCTCTCTCTCTCTCTCTCTCTCTCTCTCTCTCTCTCTCTCTCTCTCACACACACACACACACACACACACACACACACACACACACTCCCTCCCTCCCTCCAGGTCTTTTCTTCTTCCTTCCTTCCTTCCTTCCTTCCTTCCTTCCTTCCTTCCTTCCTTCCTTCCTTCCTTCCTTCCTCCCCTCTCTCTCTCCATCCCTCTCTCCTTCCCTCCAGGTCTTTCTTTCTTTCTTTCTTTCTTTCTTTCTTTCTTTCTTTCTTTCTTTCTTTCTTTCTTCCTTCCTTCCTTCCTTCCTTCCTTCCTTCCTTCCTCCTGTTGTGAGGGTTGTAGTGCACCCATCTTAAAGCATGCTGGCTGGGGGATTCTGGGAATTGCAACCTACCAGTGGTGGAATTCAAATTTTTTTTCCTACCGGTTGGTTCTGTGGGCGTGGCTTGGTGGGCGTGGTGTGGCTTGGTGGGCGTGGCATGGCATGGCTTGGTGGGCATGGCAGGGGAAGGATACTGCAAAATCCCCATTCCCTCCCCACTCCTGGCAGAAGGATACTGCAAAATCTCCATTCCTATCCAACCCTGGGGCCAGCCAGAGGTGGTATTTGCCGATTCTCCAAACTACTCAAAATTTCCACTACCGGTTCTCCAGAACCTTTCAGAACCTGCTGGATTTCACCCCTGCAATCCACCCATCTTAAAGCATGCTGGCTGGGGAATTTTTTTGGGTGTTGAAGTCCTCCCATCTGAAACTTGCCAAGAAACACAGTCCAAAAAGTGTCTGTGGCACAGAGTGATGGGCCAGGATTCCTAATACTTCCACCCAAGCAGGAATTCTTTTCTCTAGAAACACAGGGCCAGGGAGAGAAGGAAAAGGATCCCTTGCTATCTATATTTATGAACTTTGCACAGACAAAAAGACCAGTCTCAGCCCCGAGGGGGTTTCCGATCTAAATTTCAGTTGAAAAGAGAGGCAGTGAGAAGCCAGGAGAGAGAGAGAGAAAAAAAACTAATCAGGGCAAAGGAAAATGCATATTAATTGGGGTGATTAATCATCTTGTGCCAACTGATTAAATTTAAATGCTTTTGCAAAATCAGGGGAATCTTGACGGAGCTTTTTTAATTTGCTGGCAAAAATTGCTTTCACAAACAAATGCCATAATTCACAGTTCCCTTCATTTGATATTTCCTCCGCTTAAAAAAAATAAAAATAGAAAGAAAAAGGAACAAACAAACAAAGCCTTTAAAAAGCTTTGCGTTAAAATGTGAAAAAGGCATCCCCCCCCCAAATGGATTTAATTTGCTCTAACTTTGGGGGGCAATGCTGCGTTGAGATTCTAAGGGTGATAAGTTAAAAGGCTGACTCTGAAAGAGTCTGGCTGTGAAAAGCTTTATCCAGGTCTGCTAAAAAAAAAAACCCAACAACAACCCTATAAGGTAGGCAAAGTGCTAGTCCTCAACTGGGGCTGAGCAAACAATGGTTTAACCACAAGCCTTTTAGTGATTTCACGGTTGAGGTAACACTGTGCTGGAGATAAAAACTACAAATGTTTGGTCTTGGCCCACATTGAGAGTTTTCCAGTCTTCGAATGTTTGGGTTTGCCTGCTTGACTTGTGAGTCCTTCCGTATTTATTTATTTATTAGATTTATATTGCTGCCTATTCACCCATGACGACTCAAGGCGGCTTACAGAAACAGGGGGAGGGGGGGGGAAAGCAGGTTTTCATGGTCTTTTTTTTCTTCCCCCCCCCCCCCGCATTTCTCAGATGGTTTCTTCCCCCTGAAAAAGAGGCTTCTGGTTTTCTGCTTTAGGCAGAGGTTGATGGGGAATTCCTTTCGGATTTGTCTTTGGGGAGAGAGCAAGGGGGGGGCAGCTGCAGGGGGACGGGGGGACGGGGGGACGGGGGGGGGGGGGGGGGGGGGGGAGGGGCGGGGGGGGCCCTTGGGGGGGGGGGGGATTTCTTGGGTGGGGGTTGCCTTTGGGGGGGAAAGGGGGGGGGGGGGGGAGGGGAAACCAGGGGTTTTGGAGGGGGGTGGAGAGAGAGAGAGAGAGAGAGAAGATTGTGCCAAGGAAGAGGGAAGTTTTCTTTATGCCAGGTCATCCCAGCGTTATGCTACCCTGCTTCCACGGGCATTCTCACTCCAATCATCATCATCATTGTCTTATTTGTTTAAATTCTGTTTTATTATTTGTACAAATCTCTCAAGACAGAGAACAGGTGGCTGTCGTGCCAAAGGGTAACTCCTGCTTTCCTTCTCCTTCTCCTTCTCCTTCTCCTTCTCCTTCTCCTTCTTCGTCCTCCTCCTCTTCTTCTTCCACTTCCTCTTCCTCCTCTTCTTCCTCTTCGTCCTCCTCTTCTTCTTCCATCTCCTCCTCCTCTTCTTCCTCCTCTTCTTCCTCTTCCTCTTCCTCTTCCTCCTCCTCCTCTTCTCCTCCTCCTCCTCCTCCTCCTTCTTCTTCTCTTCCTCCTCCTCCTCCTTCTTCCTAGCTATCCCTCCTGCCCCTAATTTGCAACTCTGCTGAGTTGGTAGATTTTGGGGCTATAGTGACAGATTTGTCTTTATGCCACTTTATAAAGCCTTCCTCTTCCTCTTCCTCTTCCTCTTCCTCTTCCTCTTCCTCTTCCTCCTCCTCTTCCTCTTCCTCTTCCTCCTCCTCTTCTCCTTCTCCTTCTCCTTCTCCTCCTTCTTCTCCTTCTTCTCTTTCCTCTTCCTCTCCTCCTCCTCCTCCCCCCTCCATTTTCCCCCAAAAACCACTAAGAAAAACTCAAGACGGCAGGGTGAGATTTGGAGGAAACCAACTGGGATTAAGCAAGAAGGAAGGAGAAAGGGACCTCCTTGGCCAACACAGGTCCACCCCAATCGTGCTAAAGGGCGTCAGGGAAGTTTTCACGAAAGAAACAAGAATTATCCTCTAATTTTTTTCCCCCTTCCCCTCTTCCAGATATGCCCATAGGAAGTCGGCATTGAGAAAAGACAAGGACATCCTAGCCAAGATGAATGAGGACGAGCAAAATCACTCTGCCCTTTTAATCAGGGTTAAAAACCCAGCCGAACCGGTAAATGGGGGGCCTGGGAACAAGCCAGGGAGGGGCAAAAGAGGGAAAGGAGTAGCCAAAAAAACCCCTTTTTTTGAAAAGAGCCAGATAGACTCCCCCTTTCCTTCCAGCTGCTGAGCAGATGTTTCCGCATTGCTACCATGTTTTCCCAAAAATAAGCCCTCCCCGGATAATAAGCCCAATCGGGCTTTTGAGCGCATGTGCTGAAATAAGCCCCTCCCCTCTGAAAATAAGCCCTCCCCTCAAAATAAGACCTAGTGAAGGGGTGGGCGTTTGAGAAGTTGGAATTAATTGATTGAACTGGTGAGAAGTGGTTTTTTTTATAATACAACTTGTTTCCCTGCACACAATGGCGAGAAATGCGATGGAGCTGGAAATCAGGTAAGACGGCAAAAGGAGCCCCATCTTGCTCCACACGCCCCAAAATAATAAGACCTCCCTGAAAATAAGGCCAAGTGCTTATTTTGGAGTTCAAAAAAATATAAGACGGGGTCTTATTTTCGGGGAAACACGGTAGTGGCTGGCATTTGAACAGAAATATTGGTTGAAGCATAGTGGAACAAACATTTAAAATTTGCCGTTTTCTGTCTCTGATCCTGTTTTCTGCTTCTAAGCCCCATTCTGCTCTGTATATCCAAATATATCCAAATATATATATATAAAGGGTAATTTCAACCCTAGCATTTTATTTCTCTTGGGGGGTCTTTTCTTCTCCTGCAGTAAATCCAATAACCAGCAGGTGATGCTACAGCACCGTAGAAAACCATCAAAAGGGTGAATGTCGCCTCTTATTTTTGGAAGGTGCCTGTCTCTTTAAAAATGATCTTTGCAAAAAGAAAAGAGGTTTATTGGGCAAGGTGCACCCCATATGTGCAGCAATGTTTGGCATGCAGAGAAGGTAGGCAACAAACAGCTGGAAAGAAGAGAAACCGAGCTAGAAGGTTGGTGCTGAAGACGAATTTGGCCAGTTGAGAACAAAGCAAAATCCACAATTTCACACCTGGTGTGTGATGTCAGTTGTCCACTATGCCTGGGCTTCGTTTTTTTGTTTTTTGTTTGTCTCTCAAGGAAAACTGCCGTGGGAAGAAAACGAAGTCCAGTTGCCTCTTGAAAAAGCACTTTTGGGGGGTCTGGTCCCAATTATAAGTCAAGAACTACCATTGAACTCGCTAATGCCACGTTTTGTTTACCTGTAGGAAGAGGAGGGATTCAGAGCTCACTGTAACATCATTGCCAAAAAGGCACTAAGAGTTGTTAACCTAATCTTGTGAAGTTTCTTCTCCGGTAATATTGTACTGCAACTTAGGGCATGCAAAACCTTTGCTAGACCGATTCTCGAATACAGCTCATTCGCCTGGAATCCACACTGTATATCGGATATTAATACAATTGAGCGAGTCCAGAGATATTTCACGAGAAGAGTCCTCCACTCCTCCGCTCGCAACAGAATCCCTTAGGCCACCAGGGTTGAAATTTTGGGATTTAGACAACTTAGAACTATGCTGCCTTCGGTCTGACCTAAGCGTAGTACACAAAATTATCTGCCACAATGTCCTTCCTGTCAATGACTACTTCAGCTTCAACCGCAACAATACACGAGCAAACAATAGATACAAACTTAAAGTGAACCGCTCCAAACTCGATTGCAGAAAATACGACTTCAGCAACAGAGTGGTCAATGCCTGGAATGCACTACCTGACTCTGTGGTTTCATCCCAAAACCCCCAAAATTTTAACCTTAAACTGTCGACGGTTGACCTCACCCCATTCCTAAGAGGTCTGTAAGGGGGGTGCATAAGTGCACCAGCGTGCCCACCGTCCCTGTCCTACTGTTTCCATTTATTCGTATCCTTATCCTGTGTTCATAATCATGTTTATACTTATACCTGTTATCTTACATGTGTTTGACAAATAAATAAATAAAATAAAAATAAATGGGGTAGTAGTGATGGCCACTGAGTTTAGACCTTTGTGTCTTCCAGGAGGAATTAAAGCCAGGAGACATTATTGAGATTTTCCGTTCTTCTTGTCAGCACTGGGCCCTATACGTAGGGGATCAGCAAGCGGTCCATTTGATAACTGAATGTAAGTATTTTAACTCCCCCATCAGGGAGAACAGTTAACCAGTGGAACAACTTGCCTCCAGAAGTTTTGGGTGCCCCATCACTGGAGGTTTTTAAGACGAGATTGGACAAACATTTGTCTGAAATGGTTTAGGGGTCTCCTGCTTGAGCAGGGGGCTGGACTAGAAGACCTCTGAGGTCCCTTCCAACTCTTATTATTCTGTTCAACAATTATAGTTTATTGTAATCGAACGTCACCAAATCTATGCCAAAGCCAAAGGCATGACACCGTCATTTGTGGTTAACAAAAAATAATCTTGAATATAACAGAAGGATGATGCTATGCTTTGGAGCATGGCCACGGCAAATTTGGGGGTGGCCTTGGCATGGAGATGAGCTAAATGTCCTTTCCTCATTCCCAGGAGACTTTGCTGATCTTGGCAGCTTTTCTTTGTCAGGGTTCCAAGTAATAGATCCATAGCAAGCAATGTTCTGAGGCAGTGGTGAAATCCTCCGTGGTTTGCCACCAATCCGCTGCCCGCATATGCGTGGTGTGTGCCGAATGCACGCTGCCCACACGCATGTGCAGTGCACACCAAACGCACACTGTGCACCCATGCACAGTGCATGCCAAATGCATGCTTTGCATGGAAAAAGGACACTTAATAAGGTAAGTAGAACAGCGGAGGGGGGGAAAACTGTGCCGCACGATTTAGATTCGTGAGTATAAATTTAGATTCTAGCGAATATAAATCGCGCGGCACAGCTGATTACTGGTATTTCCACAGCTGGAAATACTGGTTCGGTAGCTTTTAGCACTACCGGTTCGCCCGAACTGGTGTGAACCGGTAGGATTTCACCATTGCTCTGAGGCAATTGGATTCCTCAAAGGTTAGCTTTATTGGAAATATCATATTGGCACAGATCTGGTGAAAACCGGCTCTGAGGGTTCCCACGGTTTTTACCTAATTAAAAACAACTGTTTTTCACTTTCTCAAAACAATCAGTCACATGGTCCAATCACGACTCTGTCCGGTAAAATCACTCCTCCTTCCAGGCACCAGGTGTGAGAATGTCCTTGGTTCTCAAGAGAAAGTATTTTGCTTTGACTCTTTTTCTTCTTCTTGTGCCATATCCATCATCTCACGTTGGCGATCGTGTTGGCAATCCTATTTTTATCAACAGCCACATGAAAAAGTGCTGCTGAGTTTTGTCCAAACCAGTCCCTTAGGTTTTGAAGCCATGATGATGTTCTTCTGCCTGGACCTCGTTTGTCTTCAATCTTTCCCTGGAGGATTCAGTGAAGGATGCCGTATTTGTTTTGGCTACAAAGTCCCAACTATCTCAATTCCCTTCTCAGCTCCGGCGTGACAGCACTGAAGCTCCAAGATGGCTTCGGGTTAGGTCAGCTTCAGGTTTGATGTTCTTCTTGTTTCCCAGGTGAACATTTTGCCGATGGCTCTCCCAACCCCTTGGCCATCTTATCCGAGAGAGTTTGTGTAAAGAAGGATTGGCTGGAAGACGTCGTCCGGAAGGACAGGTACCGAGTGAATAATAAACATGATGAGACCCACCCACCGCTACCCCTCTCCAAGATCCTGTGGCAGACGGAGGAATTGGTCGGAAAGGAGATGCCGTACAGCCTGAGCAGCCAAAACTGTGAAAATTTTGTTATGGAGCTACGTTATGGACCGGAAGTGAGTGAACAGGTGTGTGGCCTTGCGTGTGAAACATGTCGAGGGGGGGGAGGGAATTTGTAAGTTTTGGATTTGTGTGGCAGTGGGGTGTATTGGTTAGAGGAGCCTTTCCTCATTCAGTGCTCTCTACGTTGGGCAGAATACAAAGTCATTCCTCTCTTCCTTTTTCCTTTCCTTTCCTTTCCTTTCCTTTCCTTTCCTTTCCTTTCCTTTCTTCTATCTTCCTTTCCTTTCCTTTCCTTCCTTCCTTTCTTTATCTTCCTTTCCTTTCCTTTCCTTTTTTCTATCTTCCTTTCCTTTCCTTTCCTTTCCCCTTTTCCTTTCCTTTCCTTTCCTTTCCTTTCCTTTCCTTTCCTTTCCTTTCCTTTCCTTTCCTTTTTTCTATCTTCCTTTCCTTTCCTTTCCTTTCCTTTCCTTTCCTTTCCTTTCCTTTCCTTTCCTTTCCTTTCCTTTCTTCTATCTTCCTTTCCTTTCCTTTTATTTTTCTATCTTCCTTTCCTTTCCTTTCCTTTCCTTTCCTTTCCTTTCCTTTCCTTTCCTTTCCTTTCCTTTCCTTTCCTTTCCTTTCTTCTATCTTCCTTTCTTTTCCTTTCTTCTATCTTCCTTTCCTTTCCTTTCCTTCCCTTTGTGGAAAGTCACCTGGGGAGAGTCATAAATGACGACGACATAACCCTCAGACACTGCAAACCATCCTAAATGCATGCCGGTTGCTAAGCACCCAAATTTTAAATCACGTGACCCACAGGAATGCCGCAAGGGTCATAAATACGAGGACCAGATGTAGGTCAACTTTTTTCGATGCCGTCGCAGCTTCAGTCACTAAACAAACGGTCGTTAGTTGAGGACTGCCTACAGGGGAAAAAAAAATGTAGGACAGTCTGAACAGAGCAATCCCTTGCATACTTATGAAGACCTGCTATTTAAGTCGATGAGTTTTACTCTAAACGGCGCGATCTCATAGGCGTTTATTCGCAAGTAATTATCTCTGAGTTTAATGGGACTTTTTTCCCTTGGATAAATTTCGGAGGGTGCCCCGAAATGGAGCAAGCCAGCTATACCTGCCCTTTTGGGGCTTCCATGCCAGCCTGCAAAAGAGATCTAAAATTAAACCAACACCGCTGTTTTTATTTACAAAGACTTCTGAAATATCACCAGCTAATCGATGGATCAATTTTTATGATGCATGTACCAATTAAAGAATCTATGGTGCTGGTCAGCCTAGCGTGCATCGGGGAGGATTTTTTATTTTTTATTTTGCTTTCTGTGATCCGTTTGCAAATGCATTTTAGTAACAGGGAGGAAATATTTAACCCTTGGGACCCCAGTCTATGGAAGAGACAGGCTAATGTCTGAAAAATATAACCAACAACTGGCTAAAAATGGTCTTGAGCCAAGTGAGGTCATCTGTCCTTTGAAGATTGTTTCCTAGTGGTCAGAAAAAGCCATGCAGGTAGTCCCTGACTTATGATCACAGTTGACCCTAAAATTTATGTTATGCTAAGCGAGACATTTGCCAAGGGAGCTTTGCCCCATTTTACGACTTTTCTTACCACCGTTGTTAAGCGAATCACTGCAGGTTGATAAGTTAGCAACACGGTCGTTAAGTGGCTTCCCCCGTTGACTTTGCTTGTCAGAAGGTCGCAAAAGGGGATCACGTGACCCCCCCAGGACGTTGCAGCGGTCATAAATATGAACCAGTTGCCATCTCAATTTTGATCACGTGATCAGAGGTGGTATTCAGCCGGTTTGGGAGAAATGGTAGTGGCGACCTGTGGGTAGGGGTAGGGGGCCCACCCGCCCGGGGCAATCCCGTCCTATATCGCTGTGTTTTTGACGCCGCACACATGCGTGGACGGTGTTCGCGAGTGAATTGCCGTGTTGTTCGATGTTGCACGCATATGCGGACGGAGTGTGCGAGCGAACGAATTGCCTTGTTTTGTGATGCAAGCACGCATGTGCGCTCCTATTTACGGTGATGGCCAAACCGGTTGCTACAATATGTGAAGCCCACCTCTGCATGTGATCATGGGGATGGTGCAAAGGTTGTAACTGCGAAAAACAGTCCTAAGCAGTGGTGGGTTGCTATTGGTTCATCCCAGTTTGGGCCAACTGGTAGCAGCGGCAGTGGGAGGCTCCTCCCAACCGCCTGGACACGCGCACGAGCGAACTGGTAGCAAACTAAATTGAAACCCACTACTGGTCCTAAGTCGCTTTTTTCAGCGCCGTTGTAACTTTGAACGGCCACTAAATGAGCTGTTGAATATCGAGGACTACCTGTATTTCATCTGTGCTTACTCCAAAAAAAACCCCACACCAGATTGTTTGGATTGCTAACGACTGTTTCCCCCCCCACTTTCTTCTTCTTGAAATATGCCGTCCACTTGAGTTTCAGGCGGTGGTAATCTGGCAAGCAAATCCAGAATTTGATTTGCAGCCAGAAGTTGAGCCGCAGAAGGCCCCAAATGGGCCAGAACATTGCTATTTAGTATTAAATATTTTTTAAAAAAATGTTTTATTCTCTTTTACAACTCAGGGAGAGCTTTCAAGGCAGCCGAGCGGCTCTAAGAATAAAGAATACAGATAGTCCTCAATTTATAATCACAACTCAGCCTCACAAGTCCATTTCCCTAAACTATCTTTTTTGCTCCATTTTACGACCTTTCTTGCCACCGTTGTTAAGTGAATTGCTGCAGTTGTACAGTTAGTAACATGGTTGTTAAGCGAATCCGGCTTCCCAGTGGTGAAATCCTGCCAGTTCTGTCCAGCTCACGGTACAGGTGGCAGCGCGTAGTTCGGCAAACTGGTAGCGGCGGCTGCGCATGGTTTGGTGAACTGGTAGCGGCAGTAGTGCGAGGCTCCACCCACCCGCCTGGATATTGTTACTTCCTGGTTTTAACCAGGAAGTAACCTGTTTTTGACGTTATTCTGTATTCTGCCACATTTATTCATCTCCGCCCCCTGCCTTTTATCCCCAGAGCTAGAGTGGGGCTTCGCTAGCAGCAGTGGCTCTTCCATCCCAAGGACCGGCCCATAGATTTCCACTGCTCACCTCTCCTCTACCTCTGCACATCCACGCGTCAGGCACAGGATCCAGCTGTTCCTCCTCTTCCTCATCAGCCACTTCCAGACCTGTGGGCTGTTGACTCTCCATCTGAGGGCTGACGGACAGCCCAGGCTACGCCTCTGTCTCTCTGTTGTGACCTAGGCTCACTTAGTCATTACACAATTCGTCTCAAACAAAACTATTTTATTATAACAGCTGAGAATTACTTCATTCCCAGCTTAGTCCAAATTAATTCCAAAACAAGTCCTTCAGAAAAAAGTCCTTCGGGCTTATCACAAACCTTTATCTTCTTTGGCACCGTGCCAAAGGCCTTTCTTGGCAAAGCCCCACGAAGTTCATAAACAAGAGACGCCGACTGGAAACAGATTTAGCAACGTTGCTTTCCTACAAAGAGCCCAAGAGCCTTTGCTGCTCCTTTAAGCCTTATGGGAGTGGCCAATCATCTCCTGGCCTTACTCCTGAGTTGTCCCTTTTGCTTTAGCTGCTCTTGCCTTCTGGCAGCTCTGTGCATGCATGCACTAGGAACAGGCTCCTCCTGTTCCTCTGCCTCTCTGCTGTCCAACTCTGGAGGCTCTGGAGTCCGTGCATCACTCCCAGATGGCCCTGGCCCCTGACACAGAGCCCTCGTCCAAGCCTTCCCCAGACTCCAGGACTGGCCCATGGTCCTCCCCAGCCTCCTCACTGTCTGACTCCGCTGCTAGCTCCGCAGGCTGCTGGTGGACCACAACACACTCTCTCTCTCTGCCAGCTCCACTCCCTCTTCCCCCTCGGAGCTCTCAGGTTGCCTCGATGCTGACCCTGACTCCCACCCCTCCTCCTCCTCCTCCTTTGATTCAGCTGCTGGAGGAGCTGGTGACCGACAGGCCACAACTTCCCCCCTCCCAAAAACACCACCACCACTTGTTATTTGACAGTTTCCAGATCTCTGGTGCTGAAACAAACCTGCCTTGACTAAATTAAGAGTCCTTTTCAAGGGGACCTTGTCTCTCTCACATCCCCAGGGCTATAAGCATTTGTGAATGCTCCTTTTAAAAGCCTTTGATTTGATTTTAAAGGCAGATAACAGGGTTTGTCGCGCGGTGATATCTGCAGAAAGAGGTTTGCTTGCTTCCCCATTGAGAGGTGCTTGGATAAGTCAATACAACACAGTGGGAACTGCAACAAAATGGGGTAACGTGGAATGATTGCGCTCAGGATCCCCGCCAGCCAATGAGCCATGCCCTCTCTTGGACCATCTATTTCATTATCTTGCCCAGAAAACAATTTACTGGAGATGTTACCCATCTTCTCGGAGCCATCAGCGTCTGAGTCGGTGTCTTGGGGTTAGGAGACATTAGACTTGCTCTTCTGGGCATGTTGGTGCTGCAGAATCTGTGGTTGAAGGTAGAGAGACAGAGCCAGACCGAAGACCAAAGTTGGCCTTGCATGGTTATGACATGGTCCGTGCTTCCAAAATAGGTCGTTCTCCAGGCATAGAGTCAAAGAATGATGGAATTGGAATCGACCGCTGTCCACATTTCCATCTTCTGAAGGAAGACCAAGTCAATCACCCAATGAAGGTTGGTTGTCCAGCCTCTTTTTAGAAGATTCTAAGGGTTGCAGGACTTACTACCTCTATAAATATGGAACGTTCCATCAGGAAATCAATAGTCCTCTTCCATTGAAACAAAATCTATGTATTTCTAATTCTAGTTTAATGAAAAGAAGGACTAAGGGGAGACATGATAGCAGTCTTCCAATATCTCTGAAGGCAGGACAAGAAACAATGGGTGGAAATTAATCAAGGAGAGAAGCAACTTAGAAGTAAGGAGAAATTTCCTGACAGTTAGAACAATTCATCAGTGGAACTACTTGCCTCCAGAAGTTGTGAATGCTCCAACACTGGAAGTTTTTAAGAAGATGCTGGATAACCATTTGTCTGAAGTGGTGTAGGGTTTCCTGCCTAAGCAGGGGGTTGGACTAGAAGACCTCCAAGGTCCCTTCCAACTCTGTTATTCTATTCTATTCTATTCTGTTCTGTTCTGTTCTGTTCTGTTCTGTTCTGTTCTATTCTATTCTATTCTATTCTATTCTATTCTATTCTATTCTATTCTATTCTATTCTATTCTATTCTATCCTATCCTACCCTACCCTATCCTATCCTATCCGATCCTATCCTATCCTATCCTATCCTATCCTATCCTATCCTATCCTATCCCTCTATTTCTATTCTAATTCCCTATTCCTATTCCTATCCCATCCCATCCCATTCTATTTGCAATTTCTGATCATTATCTCTAATCCAAACTGCTTAGAAGATTGCTTACCACCTTCCCTATGACTTCCTTTGATGTGCCTGAGCCCCAATATCATGTCTCCCTTCTTTGTCATTTCCCCCGATGGAGCATCAGGAGACGTATTTAATATTGTTCCCCATCAAAATTTCAATACTTGGCTGTTGTGTATGTATTTTCTTTCTGGATGCTTTTTATGTGGTTTAGTAGCCCAGAGTCAATCGATTGAATGGGTAGCTATAGAAATGGAATAAATAAAATAAAAATAAAATCATGGGAGACTGTCTGGGCCACACCCAAGGGTGACTCCGCAAGCTAGGATTTTCAACAGTACTTTCAAGAGATACGTCCGCAAGCGTTTTGTGTGTTTTTGTACTTACTGCTGAGTAAACCCCGTCAAAATGGGTGCAGTGTACCTGAAACTTATAATAAAGAGAACACATATTTAATTATTCATGTATTAACTGCAACTTTGCACTGCATTGGAAAAGTGAAGAGATTCCTATTGATGAGGAGGTGATTAGGAAAACATTAGAATGAGCAGAAATGAACAGATTAACACTAGCAATTAAGGAGAGAGAACAAACTGAATATTATATGACATGGGAAGTATTTTATCAATGGTTAGAGAATAAAAAAGGAAACTGGAAATGAAGATGATCAAAGAAAAATAGAAAATATATTACAATAGAGATATAAATAAGATGACAATTGTTAGTGTTCGTATGAGAGAATAACTATAGGTTTAATCTTATTATTGTACTACCATTAGAAGATACGTTAAGAAGAAAATGAAGAGCTTTATAATGTTTAATCGTTTATTATAATCTTAAATTTAGAGAAGCAATATTAATGCGAAGGATGTTGCAAATGTTGAAGGACGTTGCACAGAGATAGCTGTACCCAGGCGACACACTGCTTAAGGACAGATGGAATGTTTATATTTTGAGAATTGAAAAATAAAAAAACTTATAAAAAAAATAGGTGCAGTGTAACTTGCAAGTAAAGCTACCCTGGGACACACATGGATAATGTAGGTTGCCTTGAATAAAAAGATATTTATTTATTTATTCAAGATGGAATAAAGCTTTGTAAACAGATCCTAGACCAGAGATGGACCAGCCAAACACACATCACCCTTTCAAGGTTGACCTTGATCTCATTTTTGGAGGTTAGGAGATGGTGCAAAGGCCACCATTTTTTGATGTGTCTGGTACGTTTTGGTTGAGGGAGCTAGCTAGCTAGGTTTAGCCTATGGAAGAGAAGGATGAGGGAGGACATGATAGCTTGAGGGGCTGCCACATAGAAGAAGGGATCAATCTATTCTCCACAGCACCAGAGGGCAGGAAGAGAAGTAACAGGTGGAAGGTTATGAAAGAGAGTTGTTGTTGTTAGTTGCAAAGTCGTGTCCAACCCATCGTGACCCCATGGACAACATTCCTCCAGGCCTTCCTGTCCTCTACCATCCTCTGGAGTCCATTTAAGCTCACGCCGACTGCTTCTGTGACTCCATCCAGCCACCTCCTTCTCTGCCGTCCCCTTCTCCTTTTGCCCTCCATCGTTCCCAGCATTGGGCTCTTCTCCAGGGAGTCCTTCCTTCTCCTTAGGTGGCCAAAGGATTTGAGTTTCCTCTTCAGGATCTGGCCTTCTAGAGAGCAGTCAGGGTTGATCTCCTCTAGGACTGACCGTTTGGATGGCCTTGCAGTCCAAGGGACTCGCAGGAGTCTTCTCCAGCACCAGAGTTCAAAGGCCTCCATTCTTTGGCCTTCTCAGCCTTCCTTATGGTCCAACTTTCACACCCATCCATTGAAATTGGGAAAACCATTGCCTTGACTAGACGCACTTTTGTTGGCAGGGTGATGTCTCTGCTTTTTAGGATGCTGTCTAGATTTGCCATGGCTTTCCTCCCCAGGAGCAAGCCTCTTTTGATTTCTTGGCTGCAGTTTTTCCCCATCTGCGGTGATCTTGGAGCCCAGGAAGATAAAATCTGCCGCTACCTCCATTTCTTCCCCATCAATTTGCCAGGAATTGAGAGGGCTGGATGCCATGATCTAAGTTTAGAGAGACCCCACCCTAGAAGTAAGGATAAATTTCCGGATAGTGAGAACAATTAATCAATGGAATAGTTTGTGGGTGGTCCATCGCTGGAGGTTTTCAAAAATAGAGTGGGGCAACCATTTGACCAGGACGGTATATAGACACTGAGCTTGTCGATCAGAAAAGTTGGCAGTCCGGCGGTTCGAATCCCTAGTACAGGCCTCCTGCATGAGCAGGGGGTTGGACTAGATGACCTCCAAGCTCCCTTCCGACTCTGTTACTGTTGTTTCTTTCCCCTCCTACAGGAAGAAATTAAACCAGGAGACCTGATTGAGATTTTCCGTTCTTGCTATCAACACTGGGGTATCTACGTCGGAGAGGGCAAAGTTGTCCATTTAGCCCCCGAATGTGAGTTTCCATGGAAACCAAACCAGGCCCAGCATGAGGGTGTTGGGGACTCCACCGGCAGATCAGATAATAAATAACCATCATTATCTCAGTGGGGCACCCATGGCACGGACACACGGGGTGCTGAGCTCTCAGGGGGTGGAGTTTGCCCCCCCCACAGGCTTTAACTAGGTTAGTTAGGGACCCGGTGACTGCTTTCTCACCAAGGGGAGATGGCTCGGTGCCAGCGCTCCTTAGTTTCCATTTCAACGTATTGTGAAAGCACGGAAAAATGGGTTAATCCACTAACCGAATTAAAGTGTGCGCTGCGCGGCAGCCGAAGGACCGTTTTCTCCTTCACGTTTAATTCACTTCCCCGTATAATTTTGCCTTGGCCTTGTTTTGCAGCTCAGCCTGGTTACTTCACACTGCATTAGCCCTAGATGAAAAAGGGGTTTAGTTAGATAGCTTGCAGTCCAACACGTCTCCGTATATTGTTATATCTTGTTATATATCTTGTTATATCAGAATGAGTTTTTAATCTTTTTAATTTTTAAATGTTTTTGTTTTTTATCATGATTTTTTTTAAATGTATTGTGAGCCGCCCTGAGTCTTCGGAGAGGGGCGGCATATAAGTTGACTTAATTAAAAATTAAATTAAATTATCTTTAAATCAGGGGTGAAATCCAGCAGGTTCTGACAGGTTCTAGAGAACCGGTAGCGGAAATTCAACCTTCTTCCCTTTCCTTCTTTCCGGCAGGTGACCGACTTGCGAATGGGGCTGCCAGCGTCCTGGCGGTCTTGTCCGACCGAGCGTATGTGAAGAAAGATTGGCTGGAAACGGTGGTGCGGAATGACCAATACCGAGTGAACAACAAACACGACCATACGTATCCCCCTCTGCCCCTAACTAAGACCCTCGAGCGGGCAGAAGAGCTGGTGGGCAAAGAGATGCCCTACAACCTGACCAGTCACAACTGCGAACACTTTGTCATGGAGTTGCGATATGGCATTGCGATGAGTGATCAGGTACGAGGAGCAAACGTGTATAGGTCGTCCTTGAGCAGGGGGTTGGACTAGAAGACCTCCAAGGTCCCTTCCAACTCTGTTGTTCTATTTATTCTGATTTTACAGCCTCAACGGGGACCAGAATTTCTGTTGCTAAGCGAGGAATGTTGTTAAAACAAGTAGAGCCTGATTTTACCACCTCTTTCTGCCTGGTTGTTAAGCGAATCCCTGCTGTTTGAGTTAAACCATGCAGTCGTTAAGGGAATTTGTTTGTTTAGAAATGTTATATCGCCGGCTACTCGCACATGGCGACTCAAGGTGGCTTATAGGACATAAAAACACAATATAAAAGGAATAAAAATAATAAATAATAAAAAATAATAAAACAACCCCCCCACCCAATAGATATTCATACCAGCCATTTAATGGGCTCAATTCTGCTCTGGATACCCCAGACCCACTGGCAGAACCAGGTCTGCAAGGCCTGAGTGGGGGCCACTCTAAATAGAATAGAATAGAATAGAATAGAATAGAATAGAATAGAATAGAATAGAATAGAATAGAATAGAATAGAATAGGGTAGGGTAGGGTAGGGTAGGGTAGGGTAGGGTAGGGTAGAGTAGAGTAGAATAGAGGAGTAGAGTAGAGCAGAGTAGAGTAGAGTAGAGTAGAATAGACTAGAGTAGAGTAGACTAGAGTAGAGTAGAGTAGAGTAGAGTAGAGGAGTAGAGGCAAGGCGAGGAAAGGAGAGGAGAGGAGAGGAGTGGAGTGGAGTGGAGTGGAGTAGAGTAGAATAGAATAGAAAATAGACTAGACTAGACTAGAATATAAGAATAAACAGAGTTGGAAGGGACCTTGGAGGTCTTCTAGTCCAACCCCCTGCTTAGGCAGGAAACCCTACATCACTTCAGACAAATGGTTATCCAACATCTTCTTAAAAACTTCCAGTGTTGGAGCATTCCCAACTTCTGGAGGCAAGCAGTTCCACTGATGAATTGTTCTCACTGTCAGGAAATTTTCCTTAGTTCTAAGTTGCTTCTCTCCTTGATTAGTTTCCACCCGTTGCTTCTTGTCCTACCCTACCGTAATTCCCAGAAGGATGATGTTCCAGAGGGAGGGGGCATTATTCTTTGGTACTTCTGCAGTGAAAAGAACACAGATAATTCCTGATTGGTCTGGGTTTTTTTTTTCCCCCAGCACATAGCCCTTTAGGCGCACCTTAGTCTTCCTGCAGCCACCGTCTGTAAAATGGGCGCAGCCGTGCGCGATGCGCTTTTCATCCCTTCTCTATCCTTCCTTGCAGGTCACTGAAGCCATTGCTGTGGGAACAATTGGCATGATGGGCGTGGCGGCCGCCATGATCCGATCCGCGGCCAAATGGCGCAAGCATTACAACGAATAGCTGGTGGGGAGGGGGCGGAGGCCTCCATGGCAGGATTTTTACCAGCTCTGGGGGTGTTTGGACTGCCTAGTGTCTTTTATTTGCCATATTGTTTTCAGACCACCAGACCAAAAATTAATCAGATTTTGTGGCAGAAAGCCACCACCCGCATCGTGCTTGGAGCCAATAAAACTCTCTTGAGGACTTAACGTTTTGGGCAAATCCCCCCTCCTTTTTTTTTTTGGGTGAGGAAGGACCGTATTTTAAATCGTGTGGCTGGATATATTGCTTTTTTGGGTGCGTTCAGCAGCAGCTGTTGAACTCAAGGGCATTGTGGGTCCTGCATTAACTCTTTATAAGGGTAACTCTACATCAGGGGCATGGTGAGAAATTTAATAGTGGTTAGGTAGCCATTTCTTATAGGGACGCGGCGGCTCAGGGGCTAAGACGCTGAGTTTGTCGATCGAAAAGGCCGGCAGTTCAGCAGTTCGAATCCCTAGTGCCGCATAAGGGGGTGAAGCTCCCGTGACTTGTCCCAGCTTCTGCCAACCTAGCAGTTCGACAGCACGTAAAAAAAATGCAAGTAGAAAAATAGGGACCCCCTTTGGTGGGAAGGGAACAGCGTTTTCCGTGCGCCTTTGACGTTGAGTCATGCCAGCCACATGACCACGGAGACGTCTTCAGACAGCGCTGGCTCTTCGGCTTTGGAACGGAGATGAGCACCGCCCCCTAGAGTTGGGAACAACTAGCACATATGTGCGAAGGGAACCTTCTTTACCTAGCCATTTCTTATTTAAAAGGGTGTATGGGCACAGGCCATGCCAGGGCATAAATACTGACAGCTGTCATAGAATTTGTGATATGTGTCAATAAGATAGGTTGCTCCTGTCCTGTGGAACACTTATTTTCCAGATTTAAACCCCGCGTTTCCTCAAAAACCTTCAAAGCAAGGTAGCTTGGGCTGAGAGCTGGAGGCTCCAAAGCTAAGTTTCCAAAGCTCAGTTGAATCTGAGTCACTGAGATTCAGGGTTGGACTAGAAGACCTCCAAGGTCCCTTCCAACACTGTTATTTGTATTCTTCACAGCTGCTGCCCCCATCTTTTCTTCGTTTTTTTTTTTTTTAGTCTTAGACCAGTGTTTCTCAACGTTGGTGATTTTAAGACAGGTGGACTTCAACTCCCAGAATTCCTCAGCCGGCTAAGATGTTCAGGATTCCCAATGCAGCAATGACTTTCTGTTGTTGTTGTTGTTGCTGCTGTTGTTGTTAGTTGTGAAGTTGTGTCTGGCCCATTGTGACCCAATGGACAATGTTCCTCCAGGCCTTCCTGTCCTCTACCATCCCACGGAGTCCATTTAAGCTCATGCCGACTGCTTCAGGGACTCCATCCAGCCACCTCGTTCTCTGCCGTCCCCTTCTTCTCCTTTTGCCCTCCATCGTTCCCAGCATTGGGCTCTTCTCCAGGGAGTCCTTCCTTCTCCTTAGGTGGCCAAAGTATTCGAGTTTCCTCTTCGGGATCTGGCCTTCTAGAGAGCAGTCGGGGTTGATCTCCTCTAGGACTGACCGATTGGATGGCCTTGCAGTCCAAGGGACTCTTAGGAGTCTTCTCCAGCACCAGAGTTCAAAGGCCTCCATTCTTTGGCCTTCTCAGCCTTCCTTGTGCTCCAACTTTCACAGTCTTCCATTGCAACTGGGAACACCAATTTTTGGTTTTGGCAATTGCAATGACTTTCTACTTTCCCGAAATTATCTCTGAAATTGTGCATCTTGTTTTATGACCGTCTCGCTTTCCCAGCTGGTCTCACACTTCAGCGTTTGCTGATGGGAAAGCTGGCTGACGTTGCGTGGCCTGAATGCTTGCAAACTTGTGAAAGGCAGAATAAGAATAAGATGGCAAGAAAGCCCACCCATCCTGCTTCCAGATTATCCCATCTCTAAAAGCCACACGTTCCTTTCGGCAAAGCTCGCTACCTCCCCTCTTTTCCTCGCGCAACCTTTATTCTGGCAGAAATTGGAACTCCTTGTTTTGTCTTTGGAAAATCCCAGGAGCAGCTCTTGATGATTTCCATTTCTAGGGACATAAATTTAAATAGATGGGCTTATTACCTTGCAAGGAAAAAGAGAGTAGAGGCAGATTTCTCCTGCCCTTAAACAGCTCTCCATACATTACTCTTTTTATGGCTAGAGATAATGAGATTGTAGAGATGCCGGGGAGAAGCCGGACTTAGAAGGATGACTACAAGTTGGTCTTAAAAGTCGGTCAGTTTGGCTTGGCTATTTCTTGAGTTGGGGAGAGGGGGTGGGGGGAAGTGAGGGTGGGCCAGGAAGGCAGCTGAGAAATCAACCTGAAAAAGAGTTTCTGACCAGCCCTTATGCAAACCGCAGTAGAAATAAAAGGAATTATTAGAAATAGAAATAAAATAACAGAGTTGGAAGGGACCTTGGAGGTCTTCTAGTCCAACGCCCCTGCCCAGGCAGGAAACCCTACACTACTTCAGACAAATGCTCATCCAACATTTTCTTTAAAATTTCCAGCATTGGAGCATTCACAACTTCTGCAGGTAAGTTGTTCCATTTATTCTGAGAAGTTATTATCAACACAGACAGGGGTGAAATGCTACCAGTTCGCTCCGGCGAACTGGTAGTGATAAAAACTACTGGGAACGGTAATAATAATAAAAAAAGCTACAGGTTTGGGCAAACCGGTAGTTTAAAAAAAAGCTACTGATTCCTCCAAATTGGTATTTCCGATGATCAGCTGTGCCGCGTGGTATAGCTTTGCTAGAAAGCAGGAAATCCTGCTTCCTAGCGAAGCTGTTGTGCCCTGTCAGCAGCCTGTGCAGCTAGTAGCTGATTTCTACAGCGAGGAGGCTGGTGTGGTGCTGCGCCAGCAGCCTGTGCAGCTGGCGCTCGAGTCGGACAATGAGGAGGCTGGAGAAGATGTGGTGCCAGAGGCGGGGATTCAGCCAGGGCCGTCAGAACCTCCAGAAGCTCCCTTAAGTGAAGAGGACGAAGAGGAGGAGCCTCTTCTCGATGCACGGGCGCGCAGAGCTGCCAAAAGGCAGGAGTGGCTCCTCAGGAGGAGGTCTCCTCGAGAGTAAGGCTTGGGGCTAATCAGCCACTCCCTTAGCCTATTTAAGGAGAACGCCGACTGAAGCAATTTGCAAGGAACAACTTCGTTCACACACCTTCGTGTCTTGTCTTGCTTATCAGCTTCCTGCAAATTGCTTCTGGGCATTCTGCCAACCACAATAAGCTTTCAGATTTATTCTTTGAATTCTTGGCGGCAGTTAATTAACAGCCGTTGTTGTAAAAGTCTGATTTATTTAGTAAAATAAGGTTTGGACGGACTTTGTGTGTGCTTGGTTCTTTGGGGTCCGTAGCTGGGGCAGAACAGAAGCTAAATCACGTGGCACAGCTGATCCCCCACTCCTCGCTGTTCTACCTACCTTCCCAAAACTCCCTTTGGCACATTGTGCATTGTGATTTCACCACTGAACACAGACTCCGAAACTCACCTTGAGTTTTTAGACTATGCGTGAACTTTGCAAGTGTCTTAGAAGCTCTCACATCCAATGGTGGCCGTGATAGGTGCGCCTACTCAAAAAAAAGCATATTTTGGGGGGGTCAATTGGTGAATTTTCTCCTTCTGCCTTCTAAAAAGCTGTTTTAGGGCCTGTTTTGCTACCTGTGGGACCTGCAACAATAAACGACCGAGCGATTATGTTCTTTCTTTATTGTGTTTTGATTTGCCTCAATTCCGGCCCAAGTAGCTCATGTTGGCTAACATTATAAATCAATATGAAAATCACATCCCATTTTAAAATCATAACAATTTCTACCTAGCCCTAAAAGGCAACAAATGACAGATAACTACAGTAAGCCGACTGCAGGAATTGTATATATGATTATAAAATCACCAGGCAAACATTTTTAAAAATACAGAGCCTAATAAGATGGGGGAGGGGAGAGTTTGGGTATAAAAATAGATATTTAACATCTCCGTAATGCAACACGGAAGAAGGAGCATTACAAAAACAAGCTTGCTATTGTATCAGCACACTTCCTGCTTAACCCATGAAATATCAAAGCCGATTTTCTCAAGTTATCTTCGTTTTCACATCTAGGGCATTCCGTGAATGGGCATACTGTGTGAATGGATTCCCATCTGGGTCAGAGCTTAGCTCCGTCTGTGTTCTGTCCCCGTCCCACACGCACACACACCAACAGACGTCCAAAAGTTAAAAACCAAACCAGCTGACAAAATCCTTTTCCTTACGATAACGGAACTTGGCAGCAGCCTAGTGGCTGCCTGCCAAGGGTTTATTACTCACGAAGGGAAGAGATAACTTCTCTCCGCTTCTGGTACATCAAAGTAAAATGTTCAATAATTACAGAGTAATTTAAGTCCAAAGATAATCCAGCAAAGCCCATAGCAAAAGTCCGGCAATGCAGAATGGCGTGGAAGCTTTCAGCTTTGTTCGTCACAAGGCTTGACTGGCCACCACGCTCCCTTTTATACCCTGTGGGGTGTGGTCCAGTGACTCAGCCTAATCTCGGGGACACCTTTTCTTCTGTTGTGCGTGCTTATCCCTGCGACGCTGGCGTAGATCCAGCCAAGACTCATTACTCTCATCACTGTCCACCTGTGGCTGCGCAGACGTGCTTGGCCCCGGCCCTATCTCTTGCCCTTCGGCGGACACCGAAGGCATTGCCAGAGAGGAGGGTCCTGGAGAGGGAGGCCTTGCCAACTCCTCTCCTTCACTCTCGGAGTCCTCTCCTGCCGATGACACAGGCTCAGGTAACAGAGCAACCTGGATGTGGAGGTGGAATAACTCATCCTAGTATCCTTCCGAGCCAAATGTAGGCTAATTGTAAGTTGGTCGGAGAAAGAACATGTAGGCTATTTAGCACTGGCCTGAATGGTCCACCTGAAACTTCAACCTGAGATCCTGTTGAACTTCACCTCCTGACCACCTCACCAAGGCTGAGGAAAGTTGGGAGTTGTAGTCCAAGGCTTGCCAAAGGGCTACAACATATGCATTGTAGTTGCCTCCTTGGGCTTTGTCAGAATAAACGGAGTTGCAAGGGACCTTGGAGGTCTTCTAGTCCAACCCCCTTCCTCAAGCAGGAAACCCTATACTATTTCAGACAAATGGTTGTCCAGTCTCTTCTTCAAAACCTCCAATGATGGAGGACCCACAACTTCTG